TGCCACTGAGCGTGGCCTGTGTGCTGGGCACCATGTGAGACTGGGACAGCATGTGCTGGCTCATTCAGTCCTCAGCACCGTCCCCTTCTGTTACAGAGGGGGGACCGAGGGCACAGAGGTTAAGTGTCCTAGCTGAGAGCACCCAGCCTGGGATGGGAGAAGCCAAACTTGAACACTAGCTAGGGCCAGCTCTAGGGCCCCCTGCACCCTGGCTTCTGGGCTCCCTGCCCCAGTGCTACAGAGGCATGATGGCTTAGCCCAGGGGTGTGCCAGGGCCCTGTGTGGGGTGCCAGCCTGGCTGTGAGGCAGTGGCTTCCTGCTCCTCCGAGCCTCTGGCTGCCCAGTGGTGGTGGAGTGGCATTTTCCAGGATGCGGGGAAGTTCTGAACAGCGTTAGGAGCTAGGAGCGTCCTTGGTAACTGCCCAGGCCAAGACAGTTACCCAGGGAGCCCAGGGAGAGGTCACCAGATGGGCCAAGCTGAGGCTGGAGCCCAGGGAAGGCATGGTGGTCCTCGAGGCCTTCAGGCCACAGTGGCACCAGGGCCCTGCTCACTGGGTCCCAGCAGCTGTTCTGTCCAGAGAAGGATGGGGGGTTGGCAGAGGGAGCCTTCCCGCTCCCCGACTCATCACCTCTCAGGCCCCAAACAAGCTTTGGGTGGTGGAGGCTGACTACCATTCTTTTTTTTTTTTTTTTTTTTGAGACAGTCTCACTTTGTTGCCCAGGCTAGAGTGAGTGCCATGGCGTCAGCCTAGCTCACAGCAACCTCAATCTCCGGGGCTCAGTGATCCTACTGCCTCAGCCTCCCGAGTAGCTGGGACTACAGGCATGCGCCACCATGCCCGGCTAATTTTTTCTATATATATTTTTAGTTGGTCAATTAATTTATTTCTATTTTTGGTAGAGACGGGGTCTCACTCAGGCTGGTTTTGAACTCCTGACCTTGAGCAATCCGCCCGCCTCAGCCTCCCAAAGTGCTAGGATTACAGGCGTGAGCCACCACGCCCAGCTGACTACCATTCTTAAATAGTAAAAAGGGTGGCCGGGGGCCTCTGCCGGGCACCGGCACCAGGCACTGCTCTCAGTCTCGTATGCCAGTCCCTCGCTTAGTCCTTACGCTGTTATATAACAACATGAGTCAGGGGCTACGATTCAACTCGTCTCCCCGTTTTACAGATGTGGAAGCTGAGTCTCAGGCAGGGTGTCACTTGCTAGATGTCACACAGCCAAAATTTAAATTTGAACCCAAGCAGTCCAGCTCTGGAGCCCCAGCTCTGGGCCTTTCTGCTGTGCTGCCTTGACAGCATTGAATGTCCCCACCCCAAGTACAGGGACGGGCAGAGCTGGCTTCCTGTCTGCTGCTCCTTTCACTTCCCCACCTGTGGCTGGCCACTGAGGGAGCATTTGCAAGTGACTCTGTCCCCAGGGACTTCAATCCTGCCTTAGAGTCCTCCAGAGCCTCTGCTGATGGGGTCAAGGCTCCCCCTCTTCCCTATCAGCCTCCACCCTGACCCCCTCTAATCCAGCCTCCAGGCAGCAGCCTGGGTCAGATGCCCAGAGAGGGGCGGCCTCTGCCCAAGGTCACACAGCTTAGTTCTGGACCTGGGGGCCTTGTGCTGCAGGGATGGCCCCAGGCCCTGACTGAGCCTTTCTTGTTCCTTGTTCACCTGTGTCCCTCTGGCAAGTCCCAGCTGAGGCTGGGCTATGGGTGGCTGCCCTGCTCCCCCAGTGACGCCTCCCATAGCCCCAACCCGTGGCTGAAGCCGAGCACACCAGTGGGCAGCCTCCGGCTCCTCAAGGTACCCCTGTGTTTACACCTTGCAAATGTTTGGGTAGTTCACGGAAGCTGGAGATCAGGTTCCAGTCCCGGTTGTGTGACCTTGGGCCAGTCACTTTCCTCTTTGAGCCTCACTGGAAAACAGAGGTAGCCAGCAGGATTATTGGGTGAAAAATGAGTTTAACATCGCAGATGTGCTCAGCACATTCCAGGCTGCTTCCTGAACAGAGAGCTCAATGCCAGGCTGGCAGCTGACAACTGTCCAGGACAGAGTGGGGAGGGGCGTGCCATGTGGAGGGAGCAGCATCAGAATGACATGGGAAGAAATCCTGAAAACAGGCTGAGAAAGAGACCCTTCACGCTAATAGGTAGAATCCAAGTCTTCTTATGGTGGCATCTGTCCTCATCCCTCCTCCCCTGCTAAGAACTAGCTTTTATTGAGCACTTACTACATAGCCTCAGGTGTGTTGGCTCATTTAATCCTGACAATGGCCTGACAATGAGGCACCCTCAGCATCACTGTCTGTCTTTTCAAGACGAGGGGACAGATCACTAGGGGTTATGTAACTGGTCTTTAGAGGCAGCGAGGAATAGAGGCCCACCCTCCCGAGCCTGACCTTCTCCATTCCCAGGCTACTGGACTTCTGCCCTGCCAGGCCACCCAAGTGAGGGCGGCTGCTTCACACCCACCCCCTGTGCCTGCATCTGCCCCAGCAAGTCCTCCTGGGAAACCACTCTCTGTAGGTGTCAGCTGCAGTTTGGTGGTTTTCAAACTCGAGCAGAAGCAAGTTCTGCAGGGCTGCTTAAAACACAGGTTGCTAGGTCCTATCTCTCAGAGTTTGTGACTCAGTAAAAGTCTTGGAGGAGCTGAGAATTTCCAGTTCTAGCAAGTCCTGGGTGATGCTAATGCTGTTGGCCTAGCGGCCATACTCTGAGAGTCACTGTCCACACTAGTGCTACCCAGTAAAAACACAATATGAGCCACATGGGTAATTTAAAATTTTCTAGAAGCCATGTTAAAAGAGTAAAGGGTGAAATTAATAGTATATTTTATTTAGCCCAACATATTCAAAGTAGTATCATTTTAACAGGTAATCCATACACAAATATGAGTGACTATTTTTACATTCTTTTTTTTTTTTGTATGCAATCTGGTGTGTATCTTACACGTACAGCACATCTCAATTTGGACTTGCCACATTTCGAGTGCTGGATAGCCACGCGTGGCCAGCAGCTACCATACTGGATAGCTGAGTCTAGACCTTCCCATGGGGGCCGGGTGGCTGGCAATGCCCTTCCAGGGAGTGCCCTCTGCTGGTGGCTGGCTGTGCTGCCTGCCCAGGGACAGGGCCTGGGGCCGGGGTGGGCAGCCACAGGAGAGCTGGGGCATCAAATGCAGTGGTGATGGGGCAGCTGTGGACTTGGTGCCCAGGAGGAGGGGAGACCGTGGGATCGCCCACTCGGGGACAAGGGCTGCTCTGTGGACAGAAATATGCCGAGCCAGAGGTCACTGGTGTTGCCGGATGTGCTGGGGAATACTAATGCCAACTCCCCCCAACCCCGCCCTCGTTGGACAGGCTCACGCTGACAGTCGTATCTGCTGCTGCTCTATGCCCGCCTCAGGTGGGGCCCCAGGCTGTGCCTGGAGCTGTTCAGGATCTGGCCCTGCCTTCAAGGAACCACTGCTCCGGGTCCAAAGAGAAGAGAGGCAAGAGGATGTCCTTGGCGCACAGCAGATACGTTTTGCAAACTGAGGAAGGCGTTGCACTAACTGGAAACTAAACATGGACATGTCACGTTCCTTTCCTAGCTAACTACCCCGACTCACTTGCCAGCATGCAGGGAGTCCACACCCTTCTTCTTGCAGCCTCATCCTCCCTCCAAATTGCCCCCAAACCCTGCAGCTTTCACAGCCTCGAGTTGGGGGGACTGTCTGAGCTCCCGGTCCCCGCCCCGCTGGGCCAGCCTGAGGCCCCGGCGCGCGCCTGCCGCTGCTTCCCGCCGCCACGTGGGGGCGCGGTGGCAAGCCCGCGTCCCCGAGTCCCACCCGCAAGCGGGTCCGGGAGCCCGTGCCTCGACGGACGCCTGGCTGCCCGGCCTGTCCAGGCTGCAGTGGCCCCGGGGCAGAAATCCTGCCTCCTCCGTGCGGGGCACAGCTCTTAAACCTGGCCCTCCCGCCACCCCGCAGCGCACGCACCCCTGTCCCCGGCCCGCTGTCCTAGGCCGTACATGGGAAGGGGGTCCGCAGGTCTCCGTGTTCCGACCCCCGGACCTGTCCAGGACCGGCCCACGCGTGGGCGCCCCGCAGCACCTAACCTCCTGGGCGCCCCTGCCCAGCACGGGGGTCTCTATCCGGAGTAGGGGCGCGCACGCCTGGCCGCCCGTCCGCTGCCTTCACTCCGGGGGCCCAGAGCCGGCCTCCCGGTCCCACCGGACGGGAAAGGAGCAGCGGGACCCCCAGGGAGGAAAGCCTCGGCTGTTACTTCTGACACAGCTCTCCGCCACCCCGCGCACGTCGCCCGCCTCCCTCGCGGGCGGCCCTGCGTGCCAGGCGCCCGCTGCGGACCGCAGCGCCACGGACGGGCGTCCCCTGGCGGGAGGGGCCAGAGGCGCCGCGACCCCGGGGGAGCCTCGGGGCCAGCTGTGCGCCCTCAGTCGCCTCCGCGTCCCACCGCGGTCCCGGTCACCTCCCCTGGGCCCCGCGGCGCTCGGCGTGGACGGGCGGGCAGGGAGGCGTCCTGGGGACACTTGGAGACGCCAACTTTGGGGGCCTGGGGCTCCAGGGGGCGGTTTGGGAAGAGTCGGTGTACCGCGGGGATTTGGAGGCGGGGATGGGGTTTTAGGGAGAAAGGAAGGGGCCTCGGGCCGCGCGGAGAGATGCCGTTATTCGGAGTCGCCAGAGAGGGCGGAGCCAGCCCGCAGGACTTCGCGCCGCCGCCAGTAATCGGTGTTGGGCAGGGCCAGTGCGCGGAGGAATCGGTGTTGCCAGGGACAACGCGTTGTGGGCGGAGCTGCTGTTGGGGCGGAGCTTGAGCCTGAAGGAGGCGGGGGCGGAGCCAGAAGCGAAGTTGTGATTGGTGGAGACTACATGCTCTGGGCAGTGTATGGGCCTGGGAGGTGTCGAGGGGGGCGGAGCCTTGGGGGGCGGGGCGGAGCGTGGGCGGGCCCAGAGAGCTGGAGCTGGAGGCGGAGACGTGGTTGGCGGGGACTGAGCGCCCTGGGCGGGGTCGGAACCGGCGGGGGCGGAGCCGAGCGGGCGGGGGCGGTGCTGGGTCGCGCCGGGCCTGGGGCCGAGGCGGCGCGCGGCGCTGACAGCTGAGTCGGCTCGCGGCCTCCCGGCCCCCTCGGCGCCCGGCTCCGACCCCGGCCTCGCCTGCCCCGGAGCCATGAGCCCCGGGCTACTGCTGCTCGGCACCGCCGTCCTGCTTGCCTTCGGCCTCTGCTGCACCTTCGTGCACCGCGCTCGCAGCCGCTACGAGCACATCCCCGGGCCGCCGCGGCCCAGGTGAGCAGGGGGGTGGGGGGCGGGGCCTGGCTGGGGCGCTCGAACGAACGGGAGGCCGGGGGCCGCGTCTGAGCCGGCGTCGAGGCCGGGGGTCAGGCCTCGCCTTTTGCGCGGGGCCGCTTGGAGACTGCGGCCGGGAGAGGGGCGCTAACTATTCTTAGTAACAAATTACTCACAGCCGCAGCAGCTGTTGGGCGCCCACCGCGCCCGGCTGGGCCTCACAAACGTGCTGGCAGCGACAACCCTGCCAGGTAGGCGCTATTGTTACCCCATCGTTCAGACGAGGAGACTGAGGCTCGCAGAGGCGAAGTCACCTGCCCAAGGTCACACGTTTGGTAAGCTTAGATTTAAACCCAGGTCAGCCTGGCTCCAAAGCAGGTGCTAGTAACTTTTGGACTTGGACAGGGTCTACGTGGATTAGAGCACACTGTACTTTGGTCATATTCCCATTTTTGTATTTCCGTCCTGGGACTTCCCATTTGTCTTCTCCTTAGTGATTCCATGCCATTCTTTGCCCCCACCCCCATCCAACTTACCAACCCCCCCACCAGAAGCTTAGCTTTGTGAAGCTTAAATTAGATGTGTCACTTCCCTGCTTCGAGGGCTTCCTGTCACTTCAGAACTAAATCCAGTTCTAAATCAAGTCCGCTGCATGGCCAGCAGGGCCCCTGCTGAGCTCTCCGAACCCACTCTGTGCTGCTGTTCTCTTCCCTCTTGTTTTCCTCTCTGCAGTCCCAGTCTTTCTGCTCCCTACCCCCCAGCAGCTTCCCTCCCCCAGGATCTTCCTGTTCCCCTTTTCTCCAGCCTGGGCATGGTGGGCTTCTTCCTCTGCTCATCTCAAACGGGTCTTCCCCGACCAGCCTGTGTAAAGCCCACCCGGCCCCAAACTCCTTATGAGGCCATCACCCCTGAAGTTACCTTCTTTCCACCTGTTGACTGTCTGTTCACCTGTTGACTGTCTGTCTCCCCTTTTAGAATGTGAGCCCCAGGAGGGCAGGGATGTTGTGTGTTCGCTTGTGTGTCCCCAGTGCCTGGCATGTTGCAGATGCTCAATAAATATTTGTTGAATGAATGAATAAACAATGGTATTAGACACACTTTTTAAAATCTCAGGACATGAACCTTCTGGAAGGTACCTATCTCCAGCACAAGCTAGATGTACTGGCTCTAGCAGCCTGAGTCTCTGGTGGGTTCAGGAAAGAGCTGTGTGGCTAGCTGGTGACATAGAGAGGACACTGTTGTCCCTGCTGGCTGTCTGCCCTCCCAGTGTCTTTTCCCACCTTGCTTAGCAGCTCTGCCTGGGTGGTTCTAACCCCAGCCTTCCAGGTTTGGCTTAAATGCTAACTTAACCTCGGGGAGGTTCCTCCTGCTCCCCTAAATATGTTATGTTCTTTTTATAAATCCTTAAGTCACTGTGTGATTTCTCCTTCACAGCATAATGTTAATTGGGTAATTATTTGTGCAACCGCTTGTTAAGTGTCTGTCTCTCACATGGGGCCCACATCTGTCTCAGTCACTGCTGTGTCCCTGACGTCTAGCACAGCAGCACGTGGTACGTGTGTAGTAGACACTCGATAAATAGTGATTCAAGTTGAAATGGTGGAAATCTCATACCAGTTCTGTTATGTACACTGTCACCCTTTCAAGTTTTCAAGTCGGCCATCGACGCTTGGAATTGAGTGAGTTTTGTGCTTGTTCTGATAAGTCTCATCGTTACTTGGCCTTGTCATAAACTCAAGTGACCTGCTCACGTCTCTCTGTCTTGAGAAGGCAGAACTTAAATCATCTTTAAAAAAAATTGAAATGTAACTTGCATACCATAAAATTTATCCTTTTAAAGTGTACGATTCAGTGGTTGTTAGTCTCTTCGCAGCATTGTGCAACCATCATCACTAATTGCAGAACTTTTTTGTCACCCCAGAAAAGAAACCCTGTACCCATGAGCCATCACTCTTCATTTCCCGCACCTTCCACAGCCCTGGCAACCACTAATACGCTTTATGTCTCCATGGATTTTCTTATTCTGGACATTTCATATAAATTGAATCATACAATATGTGGCCTTTTGTGTCTGGCTTCTTTCACTTAGCATAATGTTTTTAAGGTTCATCCATGTAATAATACCATGTGTCCATATTTCCTTCCTTTTTATGGATAAATTCTCCCCAAATCTTATGCCACAGAGTCTACATGTGACCTACGTCTGTGTGTAGGGGGGAAGGGAGGGGTGGGAGGAGGATGAATATAATTATGGTTGGGCTCTTTATTCTAAGGAGGTGAACTGAACAATGCATATAAAAAATTTTGGATTAAGAATTGGTTGGTGGTCAAATATAAAACTGCACTAAATGAAAGTTCTGGGACTTCTAGCACAAATCAAATGCTTTGGCATTAAAAGCCTGGATCTTTAAACCATGATTGGCAACACCGTGGTTGACAAGAGATCTGTGTGTTGAGTCTCCAGGAGTGGCATTGCCCCTTGCTGTTCCAGGGCTTTGCCAGCTTGCAGGGAAGGAACTGTCTGGCTGCAGGAGGCGTCCCTTCATCCTCCTTGTTCTGCGGGGGGGCCCTCCTCTGTGCTCTTACTGCAACATGCTACTGCAACAATCCACGTAACAGCTGAGAGCTCAGACCCCCACACTCAGATCCCACACAAACATTTATAGCTTCTTTATTCCTCTGCCACTGATTCAGCTTCCTCCTCAGCCCCTACTCTCCTGGTCCTGGGGGAATGGATGTAAACTCAGCGACGAAAAGTTGCTGTCTCCCAGTTTTTATTTTGGAATACATTTTTCAAGTTTGACTCCGGGGCAGTGCCGGTTCCACTCCAACTTGTCAAGTGGCTGGGTGGGAGCATTCAACAAGGAGCAGCGTGGCTCCTAGCCGTGGTGGAGTCCCACTGCTGGCCCTGTTGGGTGCTGCATCAATGGACTTTGGGTGCCTGGCGGAGCACTCACCACCCCGTCCCTCCGGCACAAGGCATGGTCATGGCCCCTCACACTCACTGTCCCCCTAGTGGGTAGCCCCCTCCTCAGCCATTGCGTGGGCTCCCTTCATCCCTCTGGGTGGCTTCACACTGGGCTCTCCAGATGACCTCTGCTCCGGTAACTGTGCCCACAGGAAACCTTGGATTCCCAGCCAGCCCATAGCAGTGTTACAGGAAGCCCCATGGCTGGGAGGTGCAGGGTGGGGAATCCTTGCCTGCCCTCCCTCCCTGGCTTCTCTGCCATACCAGTCTATGACCAGGGGCATGCCAGGACAGCTTCTGTCTGCCTGGGGTGCTGACAACAAATCCCAGTGTTCTGCCGTCCCCTCAGCCTTACCTGCCCATTTCTAACACCTGGCCTCCCTGCTGTGTTGTCTCCTCCCCAGCGCCCCCTGCAGGAAGCAGAAGGAATGGGTTTTAGTGCTCTCGCCTGGCAGTGGAGACCCTTCCCCCAAACCGTGCTCTCTGCCTTCTTGAGGTGGCACTCACCTTCCTCCCCAGGTGGCAGTGGACCCCAGTGTTTAGGGTGGAGGATCTGGGGTCAGACAGGCATGGAAGGGGACGTAGGGTCCAGACTGTCCTGACTCAGGTGCCTCAAAACTGAGAACGTCCCCCCAAAATGTAAGCCTTGGGGAGTGGGAGTGAGGATGCTAGATGATTCTGGAAATACAGCCAGTTGTGCGTGATGTTCGTGGCCCGTCTTCCTGCAGGTGGTTCAAGGCCACTCTCCTGTAGGCCGCCCCCTGCCGGGGCCACAGTTCACCTCCCCCCCAGTTTGCTCTCCCACTCTTCCAGAGGCGTATTGCTTCCCCTCAACCCTGTCACCTCCCCCTCCATCCACAGTCGCAGCTTTTATTTTTGCCTCCCACTTGCCCTAGCAAAGGGAGCAGCGGGAGAGAACTTCCTTCCTGGCTCCGCTGCCTGCTGCAGCTGCCCACCTGCCTGCCCAGCCTCGGCTTGCGCCTGTTCTTGCCGCCCAGGGTGCTGCGGCCAGCCTGCTCCTCTGTGCCGCGGGCCTGGCCCCACCCCCATCACCAGTGTTCCTTCTCTTCTGCTTCATTCCTCTCTTTATATAATCTGCTATCAGAATCCCCGGCTCTGACAAAGCCCTTCTCTCCCCCCTCCCATTCCCCTCCAGCTGCTGCCCCCACCCTGCAGCAGCCCCACCCCCACCCCTGCCTGGCTTTGGGCCTCCACTTCCGCCCCTCCTGTTCTTTCTCACACCCACCACCCCTCGGGCTTTGGCCTCTACCTCTCCACTGAACCTGTTTTGGTCAGGGTCCCCAGTGACCTCGGTGTTGCTGGGCCCAGTGGTCATCCTGGGTCCTTATGGGACCCGGCCCCGCAGCAGCCTGGGCAGAGCCCAGCCCTGCCGCCCCGCGCTGCTCTCTTGCCTGGCTTCCCCTCTCTGCTGGCTCTGCTCCTTCCTCCCGCCGCCCCTGCTCCATCTCTTTGGCTGGCTGTCCCTTGGCTCAGTCCTTAGCCCTCTTCTGTCTCCACTCATCCCCCTGGGGCGCTGGAAACACCACTTCTCCGCGGCGAGCCCTGCCCCACGCTCCGGACCCGAGTGTCTGACATCCCACTTGCTCGCTCGCTGGACAGGTCACCGCACACCTCACAGGGCCATGGCCGAGCCCCTGATGTCGTCTGTTTGATCCGCTTGTCTCAGTTGTGCCCCGCTCCCCTCAAGCTGACCCTAAGACATGGAGTGTAAGTGGTTTCTGAGGGGTGATCCCAGCTTGGGGGAAGAGTGGACAGAGAAAGAAGGTAAAAAAAAAACACCCAGTAAGACAAGTTCCCTCTGGGGGAAACTGAGGTGCAATGGCCCTGGGGACTCTGGGGGCTTGTGTACAGCGTGTGCCCCAGAGCTACCCCACCAGCGGTGAGGGGAGTTGGGGTCACTAGGACAGGACTGCTGCCACATGGTCATCTCCTGGGACTTCCAGCCTGCCCTCCTTCTGGGCAGAGTCAGGGAGAGCCCTGGCGCAGGGCGGGCACCGTGGCGTCTGCTGCCCCAGGTTCCTTCTCCGTCCTCCCCATCTCAGCTCCATCCATTGCTGCCGTTGCCCAGGCCCACAGCCCCGGGGCGTCCTCTTTCACGACCCCCCACCCCCACTCTCAGCACATCCCCTGGACTCCAGCTTCCAAGCGCACACTCCTGACCACCTGCTCTGCTTCCGCCCTTGGGTCATCCTCAGCACAGCACAAAACAGCCCGTTCAAACCCAGCAGGACTCCAGCTCTGCTCTGCTCAACACCCTCCAGTGCCTCCTCCCACCGAGGTTAAAGCAAAAGTCAGGACAGCAGCTCACAAGTCTCTCTGTAATCTGCCCCCCAACTTTGGGGACCCCATCTTGTACTACTTTTCCCTCAAGGCCACTCACCTGCCACACCAGCCGCCTCGCTGTCCAAGCACACTCCTACCACAGGGCCTTTGCACCTGCTGTTGCTGTTGCCTGGATTGCTCCTCCCCCAGATACCTGCATGGCCAAATTCCTCTCTTCTCCCAGGTCTCCGCTCACAGGTCAACCTCTTAGAGGGAATTCCCTGCCCTGCCCGTGTACATTGGCCACCCGCACGGCCATCCCAGCACTCCTTTCCCCCATGCTCTGTTCTGTTTTTCTCCTGTCACTCTCTGACATCATACTTGTTTATTTGTTTGTTTATTTACTCTCCGTCTCTCCCTGGGAGGATATGAGTTCCATGACCCAGCAACTCCACGTGCAGTTTTGTCATCCCCCATTTGGGACGCTACAGTGACCTTGATTGGGATAAAGTCATAGAGGAGACAGGAGGTCATGGGCACCTTGGGATGTGCTTCAGGGTGACCCCCACCGGGCTTGTTTGCAATCTGGTGATCACACTGCAGACGTACACGACCAAACCCTCCCCCAGGGGGCAGGGCTTTGGGGAGCCCGGGTCCCAGCTGTGCAGCGGTGGGCAGGTGGCTTCACCTCTCCCGTCCGGGCTGTGCTACCTCTAATGTGGTCAATAACAGATTAACTGGCTGATGTGGGAGGTTGGGGGGTGAGGCTAGCGTGGTGCCAGCACAGAGTAAGTATCCAGTGACTGTCTGATGGCGTGTCACAAGTTATTTTTGAGACCTTTCCATGTGCCAGCCCCTGACCTCTGTGCCTTGGAGCTGGTCAGACCTGGTTTGCATCCTGTCTGCATCCTTGCTGCCTGGTGACCCCGAGCCAGCACCATAACCTCCCCGAACCTCAGTCTTCCCGTCTGTGAAGTGGGTCTAGTAACGCAGACTCAGTGTCCTGTGGGGAAGGGAGCACTTTTTAGTGGTGACTGCTGGCAAGCCTAACGTTCCCTATTTCTTCTAGCTTCCTTCTAGGACACCTCCCCTACTTTTGGAAAAAGGACGAAGTTTGTGGCCGAGTGCTCCAAGATGTGTTTTTGGATTGGTGGGTTTTCTAACTTGTCACTCGTTGCCCTTACTCCATGTCCCCCCGGGGCAGGCCCCCACCTAATCCAGCACACAAACTCCCAGCCCCACCCTGCCCTGGCCCAGGGCCCCAGCCCCAGCAGATCGTCCCCTGAGTGGAGAGGCAGACGGCACTGGCTTGGAGGTCAAGTTCTGCCATTCGCCAACTGCAGGCCCTTAGACCAGCCATCAGAAGCTCTCTGAGCCTCAGTTTCCCCATCTGTAAACTGGGTGGGGGTACAATGAGATAACGGTCATTGTTTGGGGCGGTACTGTACACCCTTCAAAGCGCTTTCAAGGATACTGTACCATTTGGTTCCTAGCACAACCTTTTGGGGCAATCAAGGGAGGGCGTTGCAACCCTCTTCCATGGATGTGGAGACTGAGGCCCAGCGGGCAGAGCCTCACCCCCAGGCCTCTGGGTCCCCAGTGCAGCGCTCGTTTTATGGTCCGGGTTGAGTACCTTCTGGGATGGGCCACTTCTGTTTCTCCTACTGGGTGGGGCTGCTGAAACTCATGTCTCGGGGAGGTGACAGCTTCCTTCGGGTCACTTTGGTTTCAGGGCTAAGAAGTACGGACCTGTCGTGCGGGTCAACGTCTTCCACAAGACCTCCGTCATCGTCACGAGCCCTGAGTCGGTGAAGGTAGGCAGCGGGATGGTTTCTGTGGGGAGGCCCCTCCCTTTCCCTGGGTTAGGGGTGTGAAGCTTGGTCCCAGGGACTGTGGAAGAATGTTCCAGAGCCAGGTGTATTTGGGATGGTTTCCCAAAGATCAAAAAGGAAGGGCATCTTTCTCTGTAGCCACCCACCGTTTGGGGGCTCTTCCAGGCATTGCTATTCAATGTGGGGAGTGAATGGGAACTTTGCTGTCCCCTTTGTGTCGGGAATTCTGTCCAGCTGGTGTGCACATATTTACTTTAGCTCTCGTAGCCTCAGTTCCTTCATCTTCAATATGGGAATTATAACCCTGTCTCCCAGGGCTGTGATGAGAATGAACTATTGATTGGTTTATATAACAAATGAAGTGTCAAAAGATCCTGAAACAGTGCTTAATATGGGCTGTGTACTTTGCTATGCACTCCACACTTGGTAACCCATTTAATGCTCACGGAAGAAGGGATCTTATTAGTCCCCATTTTAGAGATGAGGAAACTGAGGCAGGTTGCCTTATCTGTAATGTCTGCCAAGAAGGTACTAAGAATGGGCATCAGAGCATCTACTTTGTAGTTGGCAGAACTAGGCTCAAATCTGGGCTCTGCGACCAACTGGCCGTGGGACCCTACACAAGTTGCCTCATCATTCTGGGCCTCAGTTTCCTCGTTTGTGAAATAGGGATGATGCCTCTCTTACAGGGTGGTTGTAGGAATGGAACTGAAATGATGTGTGTGAGCCGTCTAGCCCCTGCCTGGCACATAGCAATTGCTCAATAAACAACGATGGGTTATTCTCACAGTGGGTGCCCAGCAGATGTGTGGGCTCGTGATGCTCTGCATGCGGGTGGCTCTGGTGACTCTGAGAGGGATGAAGTTCAGCCCAGGATCCAGGTCACGAGACAGGTTGAATTGCCATGGTGTCTCTAACAGAATGTTAAAAATCACTTTTTAAAAAAAGTTTAATTTCAAACACTGACACCATTTAAGACTTTTAAAAGCATGTTGTGAAACACCATGCCAAAAAAAAACACCCCATGCTTAATGAGACGTTTAAAGATACATATTAATATGGTGAATTGTATTGATTGATATTCAAGTGTTAAACCAACCTTGCATTCCTGGTCATGACAGACTATCTTTCTTTATACATTGCTAGATTCAATTTGCTAAGGGTTTTTGTTTCTATATTTATTCTTCTCTCGTAATGCCTTTGTCTGGTTTTGATAATAGGTTACTCCTGGCCTCATAAGTTGGGAAGTGTTACCTCCTCCTCTATTTTCTGTAAGAGTTTGTATAGGAATGGTGTTATTTTTTTTCCTTTAATGTTTGGTAGAATTTGCCAGTGAAGCCACGTGGACCTGGAGAGTTTTCTTTGAGGAAAGTTTCTATTTTTTAAATTATACATTCATTTTTTAAAATTTTGTGTTTTTTAAATTTTAAATTGTGTTAAAATGTACATACCATAAAATCGACCATCATAACCATTTTTAGGTGTACAGTTCAGCAGCATTAAGGACATTCACATTTTTGTACATCCATCACCACCATCCATCCCTGAACTTTTTCATCTTCCCTGATGGAAACTCTGCACACATTAAACCAGTGGTCCCCAATCTTTTTGGCACCAGAATCTGTTTCATGGGAGACGATTTTTCCATGGATGGGGGTGCATGCATTGGGGGCTGCAGCATTAAACAATAACTCCCGATCTCCCCTCCCCCAGCCACTGGCAACCCGCATTCTACTTTCTGTCTCTATGAATTTGACGACCCTAAGTACCATACAGGTGGAATCACACAGTATCTGTCCTTTCGCCTCTGACTTATTTCACTGCCCATAGTTTCTTCAAGGATCGTCCATGTTAGAGCAGGAGTCAGGGTTTCCTCCTCAACTTACCCAGCTGATGTATGGCTTTCAGAGTCTTTCTTGAGTTTGGTACTTGATGTCTTTCAAGGGATTTGTACATTTCACTTAAATCGTTTAAATTATTGGCATAAAGTTGTTCATAAATATTTACTTACTGTCTTTTCAATGTCCCTAGGATCTGTGGTGACATTCCCTCTTTCATTCCTGAGAACAGTTGTTTGAGTTTTCTGTTATTTTCCTGGTCAGTCTAGTAAGAGGTTCATCAGTTTTATTCATCTGTCCCAAGAAACAGTTGTTGGTTTCGTTGGTTTATGCCACTATTGTCCATTTCTGATTTTACTGATTTCTGCTATTTTTTTTATGTCCTCTTGCATTCACTTTGGCTTTAATTTGTTGTCATTCTAATTTATTAGGACAGAAAGTTCAGACAATTGATTTTAGACCATTTTTCTTTTCTGATACAAGCATTTCAAGCTACACATTTCCCTCTAAACATGGCTTTAGCACAAATTCACCACAAATGTTGATGTTACACTTTCACTTTCATTCACTTCAAAATATTTTCTAACTTCACTTGTGATTTCTTCTTTGAACCATGGATTATTTAGATGTATGTTATTCAATTTCTAAATATAATGGGATGTTACAGATAGCTTTCTGTTATTGGTTTTAATTTAATTCTGTAAGGTCAGCGAAAATGCATATTATGATTTCAATCCTAAATTGATTAAAACTTGTTTTATGGCCCAGCGGGAGATCTCAGAGAATGTTCATGAACACTTGAAAAGAATGTGTATTTTGTAATTGTTGAATGGGGGTGTTGTAGAAATGTCAGTTTAGCTGGCCAATAGTGTTATTCAAATCTTCCAAATGCTTACTGCGTTTCTGTCTGCTTGTTCTAGCAATGACTGGAAGAGGAGTGTTGGACTCTCCAGCCACAGTCGTAGATTTTCTGTCTCTATTTTCAGTTCTATCCATTTTGCGTTATGTATTTTGAAGTTCTGTTATTAGGTGTGTACATATTCAGGATTGATACGTCTTCGAGATGAATCAACCCTTTTATCCTTAGAAATATTCTTTTTTAATCCTTGGTGGCATTCTTTGCCCTAAAATATATTTTGCCTGTTTTTGTATAGCCATTGTGCCTTCTTATGCTTGGTGTCGCATGGTATATCTTTTTTCTATCATTCTCCTTTTAACCTATCTGGGCTTTTATATTTAAGGTAGGTTTCTTACAGATAACACATAGTTGGGTCTTGCTATTTTATATAGTCTGATACTGTCTGCCTTTAGAAGGCCATTTAATGCAATTATGATATGGTCGGGTTAAATCTTCCATATTACTGTTTTCTATTTGTCCCATCTGTGGTTTGTTCTCGTCTTCTCCTTTCCTGCCTTGCTTCGGACTAAGTGTGTTCTAGCACTCTATCATATCTCCACGGTTGTCTCGTTAGTTCCCTTTCTCTGTCTCTCGGTGGTTGTCCCAGGGTTCGTAAATATCATCTGTCATTTACAGCAATCTATCTTCAAATGATACACCTCTTCATCTCTGTCTACTTTTAATATTTTCTCTTTATCACCGGTTTCGGCAATTTGATTATGATCTGCCTTGGTGTACCATCTTCCTGTTAATTCTATTTGGGATTCTTTGAATTTTTTGGCTGTGTGGGTTCCTTGAACATACTTGTAATGGGTGTTTTAAAGTTCTTGTCTGTTAATTGTATCAGTCTATTATTTCTGGGCCTACTTATAGGTCATATTTTCCTGCTTTTTGTCATGTCTGGTGATTTTTCTGTTGGATACTGGACACTGTTAGTTTTACATTCTTGAGCACTAGGTTTTGTTTTATTCCTTTAAAGGGTATTGGACTTCATTCTGTCAGATGGTAAAGTTACTTGCAGATCAGTTTGATCCTTTCCAGGCTTGCTTTAAGGCTTTTATAAAGGTGGGTCTAAAGTAGACTTTTACTCCAGAGCTAGTTTAGCCCCACGACTAAGGAGTGACCCTTCCTGGGCCTCTACTGAAGGTCTTGCATCTGAGGTTTGTCAGCTCCGGTCAGTGGGAACTTGAATAATCCTTGGCCCTGTGTAAGCTTGGACAATTGCTCAGCCTATAGTTACCCACTAAATCTCATTTCCCCAGACGTAGTCTCTGCCCGGTCTGTGGAGTTTCACCCTACATGTGCACAGATTTAGGTATTCATGCAAAGAATCGAGGTACCCATGCAGAGTTTTGCATAGGAGCTGTTTCTATGCATAGCTCCTCTCGGCTACTCTGTCCTATGAATTCCACTCTCCCTTGGCCTGCCTAGACGCTGGTCTCTGTCTATTTAACTTGGCAAGGCAGTGGGACTGTCTTTGGGTCTCTGCTGTTAGTGCTGTTGTCCTGGAATTGCCTCCGGGTGGAAAGCTGAGCCACCTTGGTCGTGGGTCTCACAGTTTTTTCCCTCCTTCTCCTGAGGCTCACACCCTGCACTGCCTGTCGTCAGCCTCTGAAAACAGACACGTCATTCGCTTCGCCAGTCTTCTCATTGCTTATGGCGGGAGAGCACGTCCCTAGCAGTGTGCCTTCAGCGTGGGCATCAGAGTTCAGCCCACTGGGCCATCACGGGACTTCCACCTCTGGGACAGCAGCCGTGGGGACACAGTCAGAGCCTGTGCCAAGGCTGCTGTGCCTCAGTGGTAGGGGCTGTTTATTGGAAGGGCTGACACTTAGACTTCAGACGACTCAGGGGCATTTGAGAGGGGCCTGGGAAGTAGGCATTTGCTGTCACGGTTTCCTCTTGGTGGGAGAGGGTGGTGACAGAACTTGGGTTAACATGACAGTGTTTGGGGTGGGGTTGAGGGCTTGGGAGTGTCAGCCACTTCTGGGGTTTCCTTTCGGCTGAAAAATCCATCATAGATCCCTGGGAGCTAAACTCAGAGTGGCTGGCAGCACCCTGGTTGATTTATAGTAGAGAACTCCCCTTCTGCCTCCCTGTGCCCACAGTACAAAGCAGCGTCCCCCAGGGCAGAGCTCTGCCCCCGCCCTGCAGCCCCACCCACTGCACGCACTCCTTCCCCCGGGTCCCAGCCCCCTCTCCTCTGTCCCCACAGCAGGTTGCCTGGATTCAAATCCTGTACCCGTCCTCCCCCTGTGTGTGACCTCAGACAAGTTTGAAATCTCAGTTTCTTCATCCGTTTGTAAGATAAGCTTACAAATAGCACCCGCACCTGTGGGCCCTCACCTGGCCCTCACCAAGCACCTGCCGCATGCCACGCACCAGGCCCACCCTTCAACGCAGATTTACGCATCCCAGCAAACCTACCGGCCAGGAGCTCTTCTCATCCCCGTCTTGTCAGATGAGAAACTGGGGGGCAGAGGCAGTGAGAAGCTCGTCCCAGGCCCTAGAGTTAGCAATCGAGGGAGTGGGGGTGCCGGGCCTGGGTCCAAATCGAAGCCAGCCGCCCCCACAGCCCACGGGTGGCCACTTGGCACCACGGCCTGGAGGGCGGTCGGCTGATGTTACTGTGAGGCTCTCGGTGAACTAAGCCGACCCTCCTCCGGGAAGCCCTCCTTGCCCCTGAGGCCGGGTTGGTGCTAAGGACGCCGCACCTGTGCTGCGCGTCTGCGCTGGGTGCCCGGGCCTCTCCCTTCCCACTCGGCTTCAGAGCAGCGTGTGCCTTCTCCCGTCTTGCTGCTTCAGAAGGTGGCCCGGGGTGGGTCCTGAATGTGGGCCCTGCAGGGGGCAGCTGCCACACCGCTCCCCACTTGCATGTCCCTGGGAGAGTCACTTTGTCCCCCTCCCCCCTGCGCCCCCTTTCCTCCCCTCCACACGCTGACATTCCTTGAACACGGTACTTCCCTGTCAGACAGCTGAGGGTGACGCGAGACTGCGCGTGAAGTGCTCCCCCCCATTGTCGCTGGCCTCGGCTGGGGGTGATTACTTGGGGCATGTCTCCGAAGAGTCCTTCGCAGCTGCTCGTGGCTGCACGAGCTTATGCTGATTTTTTTTGTGTGTGGGGTGGTGTTTAGAAGTTCCTGATGTCAACCAAGTACAACAAGGACTCCAAAATGTACCGTGCGCTGCAGACCGTGTTTGGTGAGAGGTAAGGTGGCGAGGTGGGAGGCCTGGGTGGGAGGCCGGGAGAGCCCCGCTGTGAGCCAGGGCCCCTGGGGTCCAGGATGGGGGTGTAGCATCGAGGTGCGGGGCCCTGACTGCCAGGCACGCCGTAGACACGCCATAAATGGTGGCACTGCACTTGTCATTGGCCCTTCTCTCCTCCTCCTCCCCTTCCAGATGGCAGGTGGGAATATGGGGTGATGTAGGTTGGGTAACACTATTGCCCTGTTATTTTAGTTTTGTTTATTGTAATAAAACGGACATAACATTCACATATTAGCTCCTGTAAAGAGCACAGTACGGTGGCATTCAGTGCATTCATAGTGTGGCCCAGCTGCCACCAGGATCGATCGGCTCCAGGGCCGTTTCACCACCCCAAAGCAAGCCCATCCCCGCCAGCCGTCACTCCCCGTCCCTCCCCCACTTTCTTGCTTGGGTGTTTGTCTCCTGCAGACTGTTCGGCCAGGGCTTGGTGTCCGAATGCAACTACGAGCGTTGGCACAAACAGCGCAGGGTCATGGATCTGGCCTTCAGCCGAAGGTGAGTGGCCAGAGGTGGCACGGGCCGCTCAGCACAGGGGGACCTTGGCAAGGGGGTGTCTTCATCTGGGGGGGCTCACCCAGCTGAAGGGAGAGGGCAAAGAGAGGGCACGAGTCGTCGTCGGAAGAGAGCGAGGCCGGCCAGCCTCTGAGGGCCGCTATGCAGCCCCCTCGCTGACCTCCCTGCCTCCTGTCTCCCTCCTCAATCAATGCACCACCGCCTCACGGGCCTGGGAGGATCTTGCTAAAACTCAGCCCTGACCGTGCCACTCCCCTGTTCTGCAGCCTTCAGTGGCTCCCTAGCATCCGAGAGACGAAGGTCAGCCCCACTCACCCTGATCCACCCCTAAACCCCTCCAGTCTTTGCACCCCCTCGTCCCTGCCCCTCTGGAAACCACTGTGCCCTTCCCGGGGCATCTCTTCCTCTGCACCTGCCCTTCCTCTGCTTCATTTTTATTTTTTAATCTCACGATGAGGCGTCATCTTAGAGATGACGGTTTTGTTGTAAATGTCAAGGTTATGAGGTTGTACGAAAGAAGCGTTGGAAGATGCTTGTAAGAGTTTCTGAAAGGATTCCTGAGCCTAGGAACCCTAATTCACTAATGAAGAGAAAACAAGAACCGCTGGTGCACTATGTTGTTTTCTTTCAGAGACAGGGTCTCACTCTGTCACCCAGGCTGGAGTGCAGTGGTGTTGTCATAGCTCAACGCAGCCTTGAACTTCTGGGCTCAAGAGATCCTCCTGCCTCAGCCTCCCAAGTAGCTGGGACTATAGGCACATGCCACCATGTCTGGCTAATTTTTCTATTTTTTTGTAGGGGCAGGGTCTCGCTCTTACTCAGGCTGGTCTCAAACTTCTGACCTCAAGCAATCCTCTCACCTCTGCCTCCCAAAGTGCTAGGAATATAGGCGTGAGCCACCATGCCTTGCCTAATTTTTATTTTTTGTGGAGATGAAGTCTTGCTATGTTGTCTAGGTTGGTCTCAAGCTTCTAGCCTCAAGCAATCCTCCCACTTTGGCTTCCCAAAGCACCGGGATTATAGGCGTGAGCCACTGTGCCTGGCCCGTCATGTAAATTTCATAAAATGGAGAGAGTAAATTGCCAGTTTCTACTTTTCTAGATTTTACTTATGGGAAGACCTGGGTCCCAGTCCTTTACTTAAAAGACAGGGGAGTTGAAGTCTTACCTTACATCTGACAACCCGGCCCAGCATTTTGTATCTGCAATAGCTGCCAGAGATTCAGTATTGGTATGATAACCAGCCACATGCTATCCAAACAGTCACCTTGAATGGGATTTTTAAAAACAAAGGGACAACTACAAATAATCTTGCAAATAAATATATACTTGCAAGCCATGTAAATGTTATGAAGAACAAGTCATGGGTGCTATGAGGGCAAATGCTGGGCCTACCTGGGGTTCAACAGACATCGCCCTGAAGAAGAGCCATCTGGTGTCCATCTGCAGAGGGGGGGTGTGCAGGTGGGAACAGTCATGGGGTGTGGAGGGTGGAGGGAAGAGAGCTCCAGGCAGAGGGGATGCAAATGCAGCGGCCCTGAGGTGGGCAGAAACGTCCTGCTTTGGAGGAGCGAAGACACCATTGTAACAGGAAGGAATCGTAGCAGGTGGCAGTCAGACCAGGTGAGGATTTTCCCCTCTCTCCTAGGAGCAACAGCGTACTGACCGGATCAGAGTTGTGGCCTCAGGCTCACTGCTGCCAGGGCCTGCACAACGGCCAGATGGGCAATGGAAAGCTGATTTTCTTTCCTAATTAAAAATTTACTCTTGGGCCGGGCACAGTGGCTCACACCTGTAATCCTAGCACTCTGGGAGGCCGAGGTGGGCGGATTGCTCAAGGTCAGGAGTTCGAAACCAGCCTGAGCAATGACCCCTCTCTACTAAAAATAGAAAGAAATTAATTGACCAACTAAAAACACATATACAAAAAATTAGCTGGACATGGTGGCGCATGCCTGTAGTCCCAGCTACTCGGGAGGCTGAGGCAGGAGGATCGCTTGAGCCCAGGAGTTTGAGGTTGCTGTGAGCTAGGCTGACGCCACGGCACTCACTCTAGCCTGGGCAACAAAGTGAGACTCGGTCTCAAAATAAATAAATAAATAAATAAAATAAAATAAAATAAAAATAAAAAAAATAAAATTTACTCTTTTTGTTTCTCTTCTCCCATTTTCTCTTTGAAAAGGCTTTTTATTGAGAAATAATTTCAAATTTTCAAATTTATTTAAGAATAAGAATGGGACAAAGTATACCTATGTACCCTTTACTCAGATTGATATGTTTAAATTATGTTAAAAATGTCATTAAATTATAAAAGCAGCACTGTCTCTTAGTAAAATTCAGAAATTTGTAATGTACAAAGTGGCAGTCTCTTCTCTTCCAGCTCTCTTGGGGTTGCCGGTTGTTGTGAGTTTGGAGCGCATCCTTCCATATCTCTTTCTAAGCTCTACGCCTGGGAGATGAGCTCTCCCAGGGCAGGGAGCCCTGTGGGTTGGGAGCTCTGGGCTGCAGGTGGCATCTGAGGACTCATTGCCACATAGAATTGGGCACTATGATTGTTCAAGGACAGGAAGTGAAATGGGAAAACACAATGCTGCAGATGGTCACCTGGGCGGGGCAGGTGAGGAGAGTGGGCAATGTGAGCAGAGGAATAGGAGGGGAACCAAGGCAGCCCCATCGTGCACTCTAGGAGGCCCCAGAGCTTCTACACTGCCATGTCCCTTTGGTGTCAGAGTTGAGGGGCCACAGTGGCACACCCGTGGAACTATTAAGACAGGGGCAAAGGGACAGCCTCCATCCTGAGTGGAGGGGAGTGGTGAACCCAGTCACTTCAACCCTAACCTGCAATCTGGGCCTTGATGGGAGGCCAGAAAGGCTGGAAGGGGCCACCTGCCTTTGCTCTCAATATCCTCCTTGCAGAGAGGGAGGGCACACGGCAGCCCTCTGGCCTGGGCTGGTCTTGGTGGCTGTTGATGCCTGTGCTCTTTCTCCAGCTCCTTGGTTAGCTTGATGGAAACGTTCAACGAAAAGGCCGAGCAGCTGGTGGAGATTCTAGAAGCCAAGGCGGATGGGCAGACCCCGGTATCCATGCAGGACATGCTGACCTGCACCACCATAGACATCCTGGCCAAGGTGATGGGCGATGGGTGGGTGCCGGGCCCAGGAGGGCCACATAGGGCAGAGGGTCCTCTCATTTCCCCCTTTCCTTCTCTTCCTTTTTCCTTTCCCTCTTCTATTCCCTCGCCTCATCCCTCCCCTGTTCCCTTCCCTCTTCCCTCTTCCTTCTTCTCTTCCCTCTTCCCTCCCCCCTTTCCCTCCCCTCCTCTTCCCTCTTTCCCTCTCCTCCCCTCCCCTCTGCTCCCCTCCCCTCCCCTCCTGCTCCTCCAGTGTATCAGTAGCCCCTTCTCTGTGCTTCACATGTCTTTCATATATTTTGTCTCCTTGGATATTCAAAGCAACCTAGCATCAAATCGAGGCCACTAACTTATTCTCTAGAAATGGACACTAAGAGGTGTAGGGCCTGGTGTAGCTGGTCCATGGCAGAAGCAGGATTCGATCTCAGGTCTGCCTGACTCTCAGCCCCAAAGCCTGCCTTCCCTCTGCACCTCCCCTGGGGAATAGCGTGGCTCTCATCCCAGCAGCCTCAGTGGTGGCCCAGATAACCCCAAACCACATGTGAAGGTAGGTCAGGCAGCCCCATATAAAAGTGGGGACAGTGAATGGAGTCATCATTATCATTGTTATTGCCACAATACACTGTGACGCCGGGTGTAGAATGAACACCTAAAGAAAGTTGCATTTTAGGGAAATGCATCTTGTCAAGGAAGGGAGCCAAGGTTTATCAAGTAAGTACCATGAGCTACTTAATCCTCACACCATGCCATGGGATTTGAATCGTCATGGATTGTTGTGAGGAGTTGGTGTGATGCACGTAAACCCTTAGCTGGGTCTCCAGCTGATTGTGCCAGGTCTGCCCTGGGTCTGCCGTCCTCCTACCCCAGTATGACCTGGCCCTTCTCTCTCCCCCAGGCAGCTTTCGGAATGGAGACTAGCATGCTGCTGGGTGCCCAGAAGCCTCTGTCCCAGGCAGTGAAGCTCATGTTGGAGGGTATCACCGCATCCCGCAACACGCTGGCAAAGGTACTGCCCTTGCACCCCCTCGGGCGACCAGCCCCACAGCTGCGTTGTCCTTATTTGCTAAAGCACCCCCTTCAGTGAGGTTGTTAAGAATGGGTTTTGAGCTCTGATATGTCTGAAATGACTTCTGAATCAGGACTTGTACGCCTCGCCTAAAGTAGAGGCTCAAAATCAAAGTGGCATAAAGTAAATTAGGAGTTAATCTTTCTCTTATGTAAAAAGATCCCCAAAGCAGGCAGTCTGGGAGGGCTGTGATGGCTCCACAATGTCAGCTTTTTCCTGGATCCTTATGTCTTTCTCTCCACTGTCCTCAGCTCATCATCTCATTGTCATAGGATGGCTACTGTAAGAGGTACACCCTGCCCACTGCCACCGATGCCCATGTGCACTGTCTGGGGGCCTGGGGATTAATCTGCCATGCCCACCACCGTGAGCACCCACACATACCACTGGGGGCCTAGGGAGATGCCTGCCCTGCCCACTGGTGCCAGAGCCTGTGTGCTCCATATCGGGGCCAGGGGCCCCACCCACCTTGCCTGTCACTGCGGGAGCCTACACACCCTCAGGGGACCTCAAGATTGACCCATCCCTGCCCAAAACCACTGTTGCCCTCACATACCACTGGGGGGCCTGAGGACAGGCATACCCACCTGTCACTGGTGCTCACATGTGCCATCTGGGGGCCTAGGGATCAGCCTGCCTTGGCTGCTGGCACCCATGTGCACCATTGGGGGCCTAGAGATTGCTCTGCCATGCTCATTGCTGCTGGTGCACGTGTGCACCATCCAGGGGCCTAAGAAAAAGCCCACTCATCTCACTGCCACCACCCCCTGTGCCAAGCATGCCATCTAGAGGTCTGGGGAATGACCCACCCTGTCCACTGCAGCTGACAACTGTGTACAATATTGGGGGGCCCTGAGAACAGGTTCTCCTTGCCCACTGCTGCCCGTGTCTGTGCATATTATATGAGAGCCTAAAGACAGGCCCACCCTGCCCACTGCTGCCATCATTCATGCCTGAGGACTGGCCTACCTGGTGTCCCCATCCCCAGCAAATTCTGACCATAGCCTTTACTAACAGCTGCAGTTTAGGCCACTGAAGAACTCACAGAGACCACTGATGCTGATTATAACTGAAGAAATCATATGAAGACTATACTTCTGCCCCCACCCAAAATCAAAGCCAATGCTCCTTACTTACTCAATAATATATATACATCTATAGAAAAAAGTCTTTTCCTATGAAAGTCAATCTAGAAAATGGGAAGAAGCAACAGTTACACTAGCTGAGTAGATATCAGTATAAGGATACAAGAAACATTATAAGGATACAAGAAACATGACAAAGCAAGGAAATATGATACCTCCCAAAGAACACAATAACTCTCTAGTAACAGATCCCAAAGAAAAGGAAATTTATGAAATATCTGAAAAAAATGATATAATGATATTAAAGAATCTCAGTGAGATAAGTGAGAACATGGATGAACAATATAAAAAATCAGGAAAAAAATTCATGATCTGAATGAGAAATTCAACAAAGAGATGGATATCATAAAAAAGAAATAAACAGAAATCCTGAAACTGAAGAATTATGTGAAAGAAATAAAAAATACAGTTGAGAGTTTCAACAATAGATTAGATCAAGCAGAAGAAAGGATTTCTGAACTCAAAGGCAGGTCTTTTGAAATAACTCAATCAGATAGAAAAAAAAAGGAAGGAAGGAGGAAGGAAAGAAAGAATGAATGAATCAAGAAAATCTGTGTGACATATGGGATACCATAAAGTGACCAAATATTCAAATTCTCAGTGTTTCACAAGGAAAAGAGAAAGGCAAAGGCATAGCAAACCTATTTAATGAAATAATAGCTGAAAAACTTCCCAAGTCTTGCAAGAGATACAAACATCTAAATACAGGAAGCTCAAAGATCTCCAATTAGTTGTAACCCCCCAAAGTCTTCTCCAAGGCATAATACAGTCAAAAGTCAAAGAGAAAATTCTAAAAATGTGGGGTGGTGGTGGGGAATCCACATCAAGTCACATGTAAGGAAATTTGCATCAAAACAAGAGTGTATTTCTCAGCAGAAATCTTATAGACCAGGAGAGAATGGCATGATGTAGTCGACGTGAAGAAAGAAAAAGAAAGAAGGAAAGGAAAGGAAAGGAAAGGAAAGGAAAGGAAAGGAAAGGAAAGGAAAGGAAAGGAAAGGAAGGAAGGAAGGAAAGAAAAGAAAAAGAAACTGTCAGATGAGAATACTATACCCAGCAAAGCTATCCTTCAAGCGAAAACTGAGGGAATTCATCACAACTAGACTGGCCCTACAAGAAATTCCTAAGGGAGTGCTATGTCTAGAAGTGAAAGGATGATATCTACGATCATGAAAACATACAAAAGTATAAAATTCATTGATAGAGCAGATACACAAATGACAGAGAGAAAAGACTCAAACATTACCATTACATAAAACCACCAAACTGCAGGATTAAACAATAAAAGAAAAAGAAAGGAACAAAGATATACAAAAACAACCAGAAAACAATGAACAAAATGACTGGAATAAATCCTTACCTATCAATAATAACCTTGAATGTAAACAGATATATTTCCCAACATAAAAGATATAGACTGGCTGAATGGATTTAAAAAGTAATCAAACTATATGCTGCATACAAGAAACTTACTTCACCTGTAAAGAGACATATAGACTGAAAGTGAAGGGATGGAAAAAAATACTCCATGCAAACAGAAAGCAGAAGCAAGCAGGAATAGCTATTACTACATCATATAAAACAGACTCTAAGTAAAAAACTATAAAAAGAGACAAAAAATGGTCATTATATAATAATAAAGGGAGGAATTTGGGTAGAAGGTAAAGTAATTCTTAAGATATATTCACCCAATACTGGAGCATCCAGATGTGTAGGGCAAATATTATTGGATCTAAAGAAGGATTAGACTTCATTACAATAATAGTCAGGGACTTCAACAGCCTACTCTAAGCATTAGATAGATCATCTGGACAGAAAATCAACAAAGAAACATTGGATTTAAACTGCAATTTAGACCAAATGGACCTAACATACATTTATAGAACATTTCATCCAACAGCTAAAGAATATATATTTTTGTCATTGGCACATAGGACATTCTCCAGGATAGACCATATGTTAGGCCACAAACAAGTCTCAACAAGTTTTTAAAAATTGGAATCATATCAAGTGTTTTCTCAGACCACAATGGAATAAAATTATAAATCAATAGCAGGAGAACTTTGGAAACTGTACAAATATGTGAAAATTAAACAACATATTTAATTTCAGGAGAACAAGCATTGTGTCAATGAAGAAATCAAGAAGGAAATAAAAAATTTTCTTGAAACAAATGAAAATGGTGTTAGCAACCAGGTCCAGGTCTATTCTGCCTGTATGTAATAAGTCATTCACTGTGTCATGGGTTTTGCAAAGAGAAAAGATTTGTCAGCCAGGCGTGGTAGCACCTGTAGTTTCAGCTACTGAGGAGGCTCAGGCAAGGGGATCGCTTGAGCCCAGGAGGTTGAGAGTGCACTGAGCTATGCTGATGCCACTGCACTTCAGCCTGTACAACAGAGCAAGACCCTGTCTCAAAAATAAACAAAAAACCCCCCAAAAAACCAAACTAAACAAACAAAAATATTCAATCTTAAGCCAAAAAGTGAGGAGGTGGGAGAACAGCACTCAAATTCACCTCCCCAAAGATAAACCTTAGGGATATTTATGGGTTGGGGAAGCAACCCATATTTATGGGTGGGCTGAGGCATGGGGAAAGGCAATTGGCAATGGGGAAAATTGAAGTAACAGGTTTATTCTATGCAAGCGTAGTCAGGGTTCATGGCATTTCATAGGACATGAGTACAGAAAATAGTGGCATGAACATGATCTGAGGGCAGAGTTTTGGGCCCTTTGACATGAAAAGACTGTCTCTTGGGCACTTGTGCAGGCCCAGTTGAAGGGTTGTTGGTTTCAGCCGGTTTGAGGTAGACAGGAGCTGGCCCGAGTTCTCAAAAAACACAACTGAAGCAACCATTACCATGGTGACTTATGAATGTTTTCTATAAAGTAGCCAGTGACAGTTAAGTTTCAGCATTCAGCAGTGTGACCTTTGGCTATGGCAGGCTTCAGCTTCAGAGAAAAAGGGGAAAAAAAAGCAATTGACAAAAAGCAAGCAGGGCAGGCAGACCTGATCAAATTAACCCCTTGATTTTAATGGAAACACGACACACCAAAACCTGTGGGATACAAAGCAGTGCTAAGAGGAATGTTTACAGCAATAAATGCCTACATCAAAACAGTAATGATTTCAAATCAAAACAGTAAATGATTTCAAATAAACAACCTAGCAATGCACCTCAAAGAACCAGGCAAGAACATACCAAACCCCAAATTAATAGAAGGAAAGAAATGATAAAAATCAGAGTAGAACTAAATGAAATAGAGACTAAAAGAAAGTACAAAGGATCAATGAAATGGCTGGGCGCGGTGGCTCACAGCTGTAATCCTAGCACTCTGGGAGGCCGAGGTGGGTGGATTGCTGAGGTCAGGAGTTTGAAGCCAGCCTGAGCAAGAGCGAGACCCTATCTCTACTATAAATAGAAAGAAATTAATTGGTCAACTAATATATATAGAAGAAATTAGCCAGGCATGGTGGCGCATGCCTGTAGTCCCAGCTACTCGGGAGGCTGAGGCAGGAGGATCGCTTGAGCCCAGGAGTTTGTATCAAAAAAAAAAAAAAAAAGGATCAATGAAATGAAAAGTTGGTTTTTTGGAAAGATAAAATTGATAAACTGCTAGACTAACCAAGAAAAAGAGAAAATCCAAATTCGAAAAATCAGAAATGATAAAGGAGACATTACAACTGATACCACCAAAATACAAAGGATCTTTAGATCTATTATGAACAACTATATGCTAATAAGTTGGAAAACTTAGAGGAAATAGATAAATTCCTGGACATATATCACCTACCAAGATTGAACTAGGAAGAAATAGAAACCTAAACAGATCAATAATGAGTAATGAGATTGAAACAATAATAAAATGTCTCTCGACAAATAAAAGCCCAGGACTGGATGGCTTTGTTGGTGAATTCCATCAAACTTATAAAGAAGAACACCATTTCTTTTCAACTATTCCAAAAAACTGAAGAGGAAGGAATTCTTCCTGACCCTTTCTACTAGGGCAGCATTACTCTGGCACCAAAATAAGACAAAGACACAACAAAAAAGAAAACGATAGGCCAGTATTCCTTGTGAAAATCGATGCAAAAACCCTCAACAAAGTGCTGACAAATGTAATCCAACAACACATCAAAAAGATAATTCACCACGATCAAGTGGCATTTATCCCAGGGATGCCAGGATGGTTTAACATGCACAAGTCAATAAATGTGATACATCACTTCAACAGAATGAAGGACAAAAACCATGTGATCATCTCAATAGATGCAGAAAAAGCATTTGATAAAATTTACCATCTGTTCATGATAAAAACTCTCAACAATTTAGGCACAGAAGGAATCATACCTCAACATAATAAAGCCATATATGACAAAGCCACAGCTAACATCACACTGAATGGGGGAAAAGCTGAAAGCCTTTCTTCTAAGAACTGGAGCGAGATAAGGATGCCTATTTCACCAGTCTTTTTCAACATAGTACTGGGAGTCCTGGCCAGAGCAATCAGGCAAAGAAAGAAATAAAAGGCATCCAAATTGGAAGAGAGGAAGTCTACAAATTGCCCTCTTCTCAGATGACATGATCTTATATATATAAAAACCTAAAGACTCCACCCTAAAACCCTTAGAGCTGATAAATAAATTCAGTAAAGTTGTAGGGTACAAAATCAACATACAACAATCGATAGCATTTCTATACAACAAGAACTAAGTAGCTGAAAACAAAATCAAGAAAGCAATCCTATTTACAATTGCTCTAAAAAAATACCTTGGAATAAATTTTTCCAAAGAGTAGCAAGATCTCTACGAGGAAAATTATGAAACACTGATGAAAGAAATTGAAGAGGATACAAATGAATGGAAAGATATCCCATGCTCATGGATCACAAGAATTAATATTGTTTAAATGACCATACCACCCAAAGCAACTTGCAGATTCAGTGCAATCCCTATCAAGATACCAATGACATGTTCCACAGAAATAGAAAAAACAATCCTAAAATTTGTATGAAACCACAAAAGAGCCTAAATAGCCAAAGCAATCCTGAACAAAAAGAACACACCTAGAGGCATCACACTACATGACTTCTAAATATACTACAAATCTATAGCATAGTATTGGCATAAAAATAGACCTAGATCAGTGGAACAGAATAAAGAACCCATAAATACATCCACATGTTTACAGCCCACTGATTTTCGATAAAGATGCCAAGAACGTACACTGGGGAAAGGACAATCTCTGTAGAAAATGGTGCTGGGAAAACTGGATGTCCATCTGCAAAAGAATAAAACTGGACCTCTATGTCTCACTACATACAAAAATCAGCTCAAAACGGATTAAAGACTTAAATGTAAGAGCTGAAATTATAAAACTACTAGAAGAAAACATATGGGAAATGCTCCAGGACATTGGTCTAGGCAAATATTTTTTTTTTTTTGGGCGGGGGGGACAGAGTCTCACTTTGTTGCCCGGGCTAGAGTGCCATGGCGTCAGCCCAGCTCACAGCAACCTCATACACCCGGGCTCAAGCGATCCTTCTGCCTCAGCCTCCCGAGTAGCTGGGACTACAGGCATGCACCACCATGCCTGGCTAATATTTTTTCCTATGTATTTTAGTTGGCCAATTAATTTCTTTCTATTTTTAGTAGAGACAGGGTCTTGCTCTTGCTCAGGCTGGTTTTGAACTCCTGACTTTGAGCAATCCACCCGCCTCAGCCTCCCAGAGTGCTAGGATTTCAGGCGTGAGCCACCGCGCCCAGCCTAGGCAAAGATTTTTATGGCTAAGACCTCAAAAGCACAGGTAACAGATCAAAAAGAGACAAATGAGACATTAAACTAAACTACATTAAACTAAAAAACCTTCTGCATAGTGAAGGAAACAATTAGTGGAGTGAAGAGACAACCTGTTGAACAAGAGAAAATATTTGCAAACTCTTCATCTGACAAGAGACTAATATCCAGCATATACAAGGAGCACAAACAACAGCTAAGAAAAAAACCCTCAGAATCCTATCAAAAAGTAGGCAAAGGATCTGAATAGACATTTCTCAAAAGACATACAAATGGACATCATGTATGTAAAAAAATGTTCAACATCACTGATCATTGGGGAAATGCAAATCAAAACCACAGTGAGGTGTCATCTTACCCCAGCTAGAATGGCTATTATTCAAAAGACAAAAAGTAACAGATGCTGGCAAAGATGCCAAGAAAAGGGAACTCTCCATACACTGTTGGTGGGCATGTAAATTATTACAGCTATCGTGGAAAACAATATGGAGGGTTCTCAACAAACTAAATGTAGAACTACCATAAGATCCAGAAATTCCACCACGGGGTATTTACCCGAAGGAAAGGAAATTAATATACTAAAACAATACCTGTAATACCTGTACCCCCGTGTTTACTGTAGCCAAGACATGTCATCATTCTAAGGTCCATCAGTGTATGTATTGATAAAGAAAATGTATATACACAATGGAATACTATTCAGCCACAGGGGGGAAAAAATGAAATCCTGTTGTGTATAGCAACATGGATGGAACTGGAGGTCTTTGTGTTAAGTGAAATAAGGCAAGCACAAAAACACAAACATTGCATGTTCTCACTCATATGTGGGAGCTAAAAAAGTTGATCTCACGGAGGTGGAGAATAGAGTGATGGTTCCCAGAGGCTGGGAAGGGCGGCAAGGCGATGAAGAGAGGTTGGGTACAAACACACAAGTTACATAGAAGAAACAAATTCTAGTGTTTGATAGCACAGTGGGCTGACTATAGTCAATAACAATTTTTTGTATATTTCAAAATAACTAGCAGAGAAGATTTGGAATGTCCCCGACACAAAGAAGTGATAAATATTTGAGGCGATGGGGATCCTATTAATAAATACCCTGATTGGATCATTATACGTCATATTCATGTATCAAAATATCACATGTACCCCACAAATATGTACCATATTATGTATCGATTAAGATAGACAGGTGGATAGGTGACAGCTGCTGCAGCTCCCACTATCCTCTTTGTTCTAGGCGTGAAGAAAGGGGAAAGGTGGAACTTGAGTTCGTCCCAGGGCCATCCTCCTATTCCCGGGGACTTCAGCCTCTGAACTTGCAGCCCCCAAGGCCACCCGTTATTTTTTGGTAGCTGATTCCGCTCCTCTGGCTGTGATTTCCTCCTAGCTGCCTCCATCCTCCAGGGTCCCCTTACCTCCATGGCTCCGTGGCTGTCTAAATGCACCTTTCCCACCACGTCTGCACAAAGGGGACAGGTGCACAAAGGGGACGCTGATGCTTGGGCTCGGTCTGCCATGTGGACCTAGTCTCCCTGGCTGCTTTCTCTTTTCTAGAATTTTCTTACATTCCTCTGACCTCCCAGCTTGCCAGTGCTGCTGTGGGTCTCTACAGTCATTTCGGGGTAGCTGGGGAGAGGGCGAGGGAAGCGCGCGGGCTCAGCCGAGCATCTTGAGCTGACTCTCTTGCCCAGTTTATGCCGGGGAAGAGGAAGCAGCTCCGCGAGATCCGGGAGAGCATCCGCTTCCTGCGCCAGGTCGGCAAGGACTGGGTCCAGCGCCGCAGGGAGGCCCTGAAGAGGGGCGAGGACGTCCCGGCCGACATCCTCACGCAGATTCTCAAAGGTGCGAGGCTGCCTCCCGGGGCCGGGGAGGGCCAGGTGGGCAGGGGATGCTCCGTCAGGCGACTGAGCACGGTGACCTGTGGTTTGTCCCTGCCTGGCTTGATATGAGAAGGGCAGTTGGTTCCTGTGAGCCGTGGGGCGAGGGGGCAGAGGTGGCTGGGCACTGAGGCTGTCCTTGTCTTTCAGCTGAAGAGGGGGCCCAGGACGACGAGATTCTGCTGGACAACTTCGTCACCTTCTTCATTGCTGGTCTGTAGCTTCCGCGGTGACAAGGGCTCGCGGGGCTTTGCGGGAGTGTGGGGACCACGGGTCACCCAAATCTCTGCCTCTGGGAGACGGTCCGGCGTCTGAGCAGAGTTCCGTGCCGGGACGGGGGGCTGGGGTGAGGGGCGCAGAAGCCCCCTCTGGGCTGTGTTGGTGGCCTCCCAGCTGGGACGGGGCTGTGCAGCTGGCTCTTCCAGCTCAGGGGAGCCCGGCCGTGTGGACGCAGGGCCCGCTCTCAGAGTCTGTGGGAGGCCCTCATTAGTCTGGCGCAAAGAGCTGTGCTAAGCGACTCCGTCCATTTGCTCAAAGCGTTCCTCCTCGGCCTCCAGCCAGCCCTTCGGTGCTTCTTCCTGGGGGGCCCCCGGTGGCCCCAGGCCCTCGGCTGCAAGCTGGCCCGGCCCCCAGAGGGCCTCTGCCCACACGTCTCGCCGTGCTAAGCTGCATATTTGTTTGTGGCAATCGGCGAGGTCTGAGTCCCTGCCAGACTGTGCGCTTGGCGAGCGGCGGGGCCGCGCTTTGCTCGCCGCGTCTTCCCAGGGCCGAGCGTAGGAGCCCTGATGAAGACCGGGCACTGGGGAGCCGGAGGGGAAGGAGAGGAGGCACAGTCCACAGTCTGGTGGTGGAGGTAGACAGACAGACAGGCGGCGTGCAGGCGTGGCGTGGAGAAGGCCCTCCCGGTGGGAGGCGCGCTCACTGATACTCAGGGGGCTCAGAAATGGCCGGCGCTGGGGCAGGCTGCAGGCTCCGTTCCTGCGCAGGCAGAAAGTAGCCGCAGAACGACTGGACGGCCTTCGTTCCTGCAGCGGAACCCAGGTCCCGGCAGACCCGGCCTCAGTCTCCTCGTCGGTAAACTGGGGCCTTGAGGTTGCTCTGCAAGCTCCCAAGAGGATTTTCTAGTCCCTCATGTCCTCACAGCCCATCCCAGCCCTGTGCCAGATGCTGCAGGGGGCTGGGGGAGGGCAGGGCGGCTCGCACCTCTTCCCTCCCTTTTGCCTGTTGAGGAAAACTGAGGCCTAAGAGGAAAGCATCCTGCTAGAGCCACAGCTCGGGTGCAGAGCCAGGGCCGGGCCGCCCTCTTCCCCACCCACTCCCCTCGTGGCCATCCTGGCTGTGACGCTGGTCCCCCCTTCCAGGCCTGGGGCAGGCTGGGCCTCACTTCCCGGCACTTCCTTTGCTGTGGAGGGGGCAGGCCTCCACACACTCGCTGGCCTGAGGATGGTTGCACCTGCTAAACCGCTGCCTCCTTTACGGAAATTCATGCAACTCTAGATTGTTCCCTCCAGACCACCTTGGAGGGTTTTGTCCTTACCAGCTTGGCTAGATCCTGCCAAAAACTCAAATGGCCCTGCTGACATGGTGCCCTGGCTTCCCCCCGGGGAGGCACCCTGTCAGGCTCGGGCCAGAGGGCCGTGGGCAGGTGCCGCAGCCTGGGAGGGAGGCAGGCAGGCCCTGGGCTCGCAGGCTTTGGGTTGGGTCCCGGCTCTGCCCCCCCCTTCCGTGTGGCCGGAGGAGACCCGTGCCTCTCAGCCTCAGTGTTTGCTTCTGCAGAATGGAGGTGGGCCCCCTCCGGCCAGGGGAGCCAAAGGATAGTGAAGGGAGGGCTTTGTTGCGTGACGGCCTGATGCCAGGGGACAGACACATCGCGCTTGACCACCCTGGCTGGCGACAGGGTCGTTGGAGGCAGACACACAGCTACTGTCCTCCTTCCCCGCAGTCATGAGACTCTGCCAAACCACTTGCGTTCACCGTGGATGAGCTGTCTCGCCAGCCAGAGATCGTGGCGAGGTATGGGGCTGCCTCGGGGTTGGCAGAGGGTCTGTCTGGCGTTTTGTTCCCGAGGGTCACCTGCCCCCACCCCCCAGGCCGAGCCCCCCATGCGCTGCTTTCCTTCACCCCAGGCCTTTGCACGGGCTGTTCCTCTTCTGGAAGCTCTTCTCCTAGGGAACAAGCCTCTCCCCCCCCATTTCTCCTCCTCTTCCTCCTGCTCTTCCTCTCTCCTCCCCGCCTCCTCCAGAAAAGCCCTCTCAGATCCCTGAAGTGTAGCCACCCCGTGTTCCTCCCCTGCCGACTTCCTCCATGCTCCCGAATGTGCTTTCTCCGGGACTGTTTGCTCGAGTCTGTTGCGGCCGAGAGACCAGGAGCCCAGGACGGCAGGGCCCTGGCCTCTTTCCTTCCTCCCACGGCCGCGCCTGGTGCCTGGCTGGGGCTGGCAGGTGAGGACGGGACACAATTGCAGATAAAAGTGCTGAGGGCGCTTGTCCATGTCGCTCGTGGGCAAGATGGGAAGGGGTCCTGGGCAGGATGGCGTTTGAGCTGGGCCGTTGGGTTTCTTTAAATACGAGCATGCCTCAACCTCCCGACTGTTCGTTGGTGGACTGGCGAACCAAGTGGAACAGCTCTCAGTCCACAAGCTCAGGGTGCGGGCGCTCCTGGGGGAGGTGGAGGACAAGCTTCGATGACCAGAATTGTTTAGTCGTCCACCGGCGATGAAAGGGCCAGACACCTGAAAGATTTACGTGAAGTGTTAAAGTAAGTTTATTGGTTTAAAAAAATAATCAAATAGTAATCATACTTTATACAAAAATTTTGGAAAAATCAGGAAAAGTTAAAATGATAATAATTAATAACCATGACACCCCATCCACCGCGGAGGCAATATACCATTATAACTTACTGAATATTATTAGTTAATTGGCGACATCTTTTAGTCTGCTGCACACGTAGCTCTAGTGTGTTTCTCACCACCTGCTTGTGCTAAACCCCGGTTTGTATTCCCGTGAAATCCTATCATCAGCACGACCCACATTATTCGTAACCTCTTCCACTCCCCCTTTCCCCTTAATTGTGGCGGAAGTATACATAACGTAAAAATTTAATATTTAATTACTTTTTTTTTTTACCTAGAGCACAGGCTCTTACTCTGTCTCCCTAGAGCTGGATTGCAGTGGGTGTGACATAGCTCACTGCCAACCCCCAATCCCTGGGCTCAACACATTCTCCTGCCTCAGGCCTCCCGAGTAGCTGGAATACAGCACAAGCCACCACACCCGGCAATTTCAAAGTTTTTATAGAGACGGGTCCATTGGCTCTATTGCCCAGGCCTGGTCTTGAACTCCTGGCCTCAAGTGATCCCTCCCGCCTCGGCTCGCCAAAGTGTGAGATTACAGGCAGAGCACCTTGGCCCTGCCCAATATTTTAAGTATACTTTAAAGCATATAGTTCTAGTGGCATAGTATACCATTCAGCGCCTGTCCGGTGCAGTCCATCACCACCATCCATCTCCACAACTTTTCCATCTTTTCTGAACTGGAGGGTTGCACCCCATTAAACCGTGCCTACCCATTCTCCCCCCAGCCCCCTGGTAACTGCCACTTGCTTTCTGTCCGTGCATTTGTCTAAGTCTCAGCGTCCTCATGTGAGTGGGATCACACGTTTTGTCGTTTCCTTGTGCTGGCTTTATTTCACTCAGGCCATTAGTGTCATCAAGGCCAACCATTTGGTAGCGTGGTGTCAGAATCCGCGTGTGCATTTGCAAGTTATGAGACCCGCGTTGTGCTACCCACCTCATGCTGTCCACCCGACTTGGGTTGCTTCTCCCTTGTTTGCTTTGTGATGAATGCCGTTGCTCGAATGTGGGCACCACCAAATATCCTTTCGGGTCCCTGCTGTCAGTTCTTCTCGGTATATACCAGAAGTGGAATTGCTGGGTCACATGGGAATTCTATTTTAATTTTTTGCAGAGTTGCCACCACCATTTATTCACTCCCTTCTATAGTGCACAAGGTTTGGTTCATCACATCCTCACCAGCATTTTTATTTTGTTTGTTTTGGCAATTCTGTTTTTGACAGTTAACGCCTCCTAGAGAGCGTCCCCAAATAGGGCCCGTGGGCCACATGGGACCACTTTGAGGACATTTATTCCGGCCCGCGGGGTTGTTTCTGCTGCCGCTCCTGTCTGCTTAGCAGCCCACTCGGCGTCCGGGCCCACCAGTGCGCATGTGGTGGAAGTGCACCACGTTCTCCTACAGCCCTCCAGGCGGTCTGTTTTAGGCGTAGAACTCCCTGGTTTAAAAGTTTGAGGACCCCGGCTATGGAGTGTAGCGTCCTCTGCTCTTAAAGCTGCCTGGAGTTACCAGTGAATCTACGTTACTTCGCCGCCTGTGTTCCATGTGCAGTTAGCGGAGCTTATCCGGCTCGCATGCATCTCCGTGGCATAAGCTTTGTTGCTGTGGCGTGTTTTATTTCATTCAGCAATTCCAAACATCGACACAAAGGCACATCTTTAAGGCCCTAGGATTCCGATGCTTGGGCATTTTATGGTTGGACGTGGCATTCTGCCGGGATTTACTTCACAGTGTCTGGTTGGGTGTGGGGACGCTTCGTGCTTGCTTCGTCCTCTTTTTTAAACTAACGTCGGGGAGAGTCCTTCTTTGCAGGATGACTTGTCTCTGTTCTTCACCCGGCAGGCTGCAGGCGGAGGGTGGACGAGGTCATCGGTTCTAAGAGGCACCTGGATTTTGAAGCCTGGGAGGACTGCAGTACCTGTCCCAGGTGCGGGAGTATTCGAGGAAGCTTCTGGGCAGATGCGGTGGTTCACAAGTCAGGCGTGCTGCCTCCCTGGACCCTTAGTATGGTGGCTCCAAACTCCGCTGCTATGAGAGTCGCTGGGAGATTTAACATCCCGAGGCCAGCTGCCCCAGACCAGGGACATGCGCGGTGTGCAGGGGCTCCCCGGCAGGTCCCAGTAGCGGGCGGTGTTTGCAGCGCTTGCAGCCGCGGTTGGAGACCGGCCCTTTGGTAAACGGTCCATGTTTGCGCTTCGCAGCTCGGCAGGCTTAGGCCAGGCCCGGCTGAGCCAGGCCCGGCAGCCCCCCAGGCACTGTGGGAGGCCGCGCTCCGCCCGCGGGGAGCACTGCTTGCCTCTGCCCGTGCCTCTCTGGGCAGGTGGGAGCCCTGGTTCCTGGGCCTGCCTCTGTCACCGTGGCCTTGCTCAGCTCCCTTCCCCTTCTGGGCCTCGGTTTCCCCATCAGTGGCATGAGGAGCTGGACATGATGGTGGGGTGAATGTGCCTGGGGTCTGGGCACCGTCAGGGTTAGCATGCGCATTCAGCGCTGGGGAGGAGGAAAGATGGGTCCCAGCGTGCCGCCGGCAGGTGCTGTGGGATCCCCCGACTTCTCTTCATGTCTCCCCTGTGGCTCCTGCAGGTGCTCAAAGAGTCACTGAGGCTGTACCCGCCGGCGTGGGGCACCTTTCGGCTGCTGGAAGAGGAGACCTTGATTGACGGGGTCAGAGTCCCTGGCAACACCCCGCTCTTGGTAAGTTAGGGTCTGGGGTGGGCTGGCCTGCTTGGCCAGGGTGGCCAGTTTGGGGCTCTCCACTGGGGTCGGGGAACCCATGGCCCTGTTCTCAGCACTGTCCCAGGCTCCCCTGGCTGCCCTGTGCTTCTTGCAAGTCTCACTGACCCTGTGAGCTCTTCTCCGCCTTCACGCTGTCCTGTCAGGCAGAAGCTTACAGTGGACAGCTCCGGGAGGGAGCACCCATGTCCAGCTGAGCACACTGAGGTTCAGAGAGGTCTGGTCACTTTCCGGGGGTCACACAGCTGGCGAGGGGCAGCTGTGGGATGTGCCTGGTTTCACGTTTGACCCAAACTCATTCTAGTTCTTTCTCTCCCTGCGTTTTACAGCCCCTTCTCCACTGTGGTCACTTTCTCCCCCTACCTGCCTTTACACTTTGTTTCTTTGTCCGTTTGCTCATCCATCCATCCATCCATCCATCCATCCATCCATCCATCCATCCATCCATCCATTCATTCATTCAGGCACCCGTTCACGTACAGTGACCCCCACCCCACCACCCACCGCCTGCTCCCCCAGAGTAATCACAGGCCTGAATTTCGTATTTGCCACGCCCTCACCCGAGTGTGTGTGTGCGCGCGTGTGTGCAGGTGGCCACGCGGTGATACGCTGTAGGACGTGCGTTTTGACTCAGTATAAAGACTACTAAGATCTGCTAGCTTCCCCCGTCAGATTCCAGGCCGTTCACTGTAGCCGATCAGTTCTGGGGCCGTCGGGCCTTCGAGAGGTTCCCAGTCTGTCGCTGTCACGAGCGGCTGTGAGCGTCTCTGTCCGCACCTCCTGGCGCGACGTGCAGACGAGTTCTTGGGCGTGCCCAGGAGCGGGAGGGCGGGGCTGCAGGACACAGGAGTGCCCCGCTGGACACACTGACGCCAAGTGCTTTCCCCAAGCGTCTGCGCCAACGCGGACGCCCGCCGTGGCACGGCAGGGAGCCTGTTCCATACTCTCCAACGCTTAGTGGGGCCCAATTTCACGTTATTTTTTTGACAGCCAAATACATGTGCAAAAAGTATTGCTCTGTGGTCTTAACTCCCACTTTCCTGATTACTAGCGAGGCTGAGCCTCCCTGCACTACTGTCCTCGTCTGTGAGATGTTGGCTCAGTTTCCCCTGTTGGGTCATTTGTCCTGTCTTATTGATATGGAGAGCTTTATTTTTTAAAAATTCATCTTTTTTTTTTTTGAAACAGAGTCTCACTCTCTTGCCAGGGCTAGAGTGCCGTGGCGTGGGCCTAAATCACAGCAATCTCAAACTCCTGGGCTCAAGCGATCCTCCTGCCTCAGCCTCCCGGGTAGCTGGGACTACAGGCATGCGCCACTGTGCCCAGCTAATTTTTTCTAGTTTCAGTTGTCTGGCGAATTTCTTTCTGTTTATAGTAGAGACGGGGTCTCACTCTTGCTCAGGCTGGTCTCCATCTCCTGAGCTCAAGCAATCCTCCCGCCTCGGCCTCCCAGAGTGCTAGGATTACAGGCGTGAGCCACCGCGCCCGGCCCTAAAAATTTATCTTTTGTCCATTATCTGTGTCTTCTCCAGATTTGTGGCCTGTCTTCATTGATGTGCTTTTGATGATCTGAAGTTCTTAATTTTCTTTGAGTGATTTGTTCTTTTGTTTTATCTTAAGAAACGCTTTCCTATCCTGAGCTCGGAAGGATATGCGTTTACATTTTCCTCAAACAATTCTACGTTTTTGTTTTGAAAGTTGAGCTCTTACCTACCCGGGATTGCTTTCGCGTATGGTTTTGAGGTAGGGATCTGTACTGGGTTGCCAGAGTTGCTGTAATGAAGTGCTGCTGTAGACTGGGTGGCTTAAACAACAGACATTTATTTTCTTACAGTCCTGGAGGCTAGAAGTCCGAGATCAAGGTGTCGACAGGTTGGTTTCTTCTGAGGGCTCTCTCCTTAGCCTGCAGACGGCCGCCTTCCCTGAGTCCTCAGATGGGCCTCCTTCTGTGTGTCCCTGTCCTACTCTCCCCTTCTAATGGGGACGCCAGTCAGAGGGGGCCGGGCCCAGCCTGGTGACCTCGGTTTACTGCAGCTCCCCTCTTTAAAGACCCTGTTCCAAATACAGTCACATTCTGCGGCACTGGAGTTGGGACTTCGCCCAACTACGAACTGGAGGGGGCACGGCTCAGCCCACAAGAGGCCCCACGTCTGTTTTCTTGCGTGGAGAGCCACGCGCTTCCCGGGGCTCCGCATGCCGTCTCCAGCACCGTCAGACCCGCACCTACGGCGGCTCTTTATTCTGTCTGCCCGCCTTTTCCTGTGCACCCCGCACCGACACCTCTGTGCCTTCACGGTCCCCTCCCTGGCGTGACCTTCCATCTGGCAGGGGAGGCCCTGCGGCTGACGGGCAACTCGGGGTACAGCCGCGTGGGGTCCGAGTGGGCCCACCCAGGCTCGGCCCCAGCCCGCTCGCCGGCTCGCGTCTGCCAGGCCCGCGCTTCTCTGGGCCTGTCTCGCCCTTGTCCCGTGGGGCTGATGGACCCGAGCCGCAGCCTGTGAGGAGTCCGGGGGATGATGTTCGTCACCCGTCTGGTGACAGCCCTGGCCACTAATCCCAGCCCCAACGGCGAACGCTCCTGCCCTCTTGCCCGAGGTCAGCCCCCGGCCTCCTCTGCGCGCCTGCCCTGGACCCTCGGCGCGGGGGACCGGGTAGAGCAGGCGCAGGGAGACGCTGACCAAGGGTGGGAAAGGCCGAGACCGGCACCCAGCGCCCACACTGGGGGGCACGTTGTTCTCCAGGGCCGGAAGCCTGGCATCGGAGGCCAGGGGCAGGCAGGGAGCGGAGCCCGAGTCAGGAGGCATGGCGTGCCGGCCAAAGGCTGGTGGGGGTCTGCGGCCCCTCCCCCAGCCCCACTGAAGCAGCGTCCGGTTGAAGAGACGCTGAACGGCAGCAGCTCTCAAGGACCTAGAGAGACGGCCTTGAGTGTCAGATCTGAGTTCAAGTCTCAGTTTGGCCACTTATTTGCCTGGTGGCTTTAGGAAAGTCACCGGACCTCTCTCTGAGCCTCAGTTTCCTCATCTGTAACATGGGGGGAATTGTAGCTCCCCCACAGGGACGTGCCGAGCCTGGGATGATGTGACACCCCTATTGGCACATTGGGTCTCCCCCTTTCTTCCCCTTAGAGATCTTGCAGGGGCCGGTGGGATCCCACACCCGGCTAAATGGGGTGAGGGCGTGGGGGCCACTCTGCTCTGAGTCACCCCACTGGGAAGCTGAGTGGGTTGGGAGGTGCGAGGGACCAACCCTGGGAACCAGAGACAAGCAGACCCTCTCCCCACAGTTCAGCACCTACGTCATGGGGCGGATGGACAGGTACTTTGAGGACCCGCTGACTTTCAACCCCGATCGCTTCGGCCCAGACGCGCCCAAGTAAGTCCCTGGCCGAGCAGTCCACGCGTGGGCCTGGTGGGACAAGGACGGCCACAGCAGCCTCTGGTCTGAGCCACCAGTGCCCACCGAACCCACGCAGCCTTCCAGGTCCCTGCGAGGCAGTGCCGGAGGAAGTCGCAGCGCGGAGGGGCTGGGGAACTTGCCCGAGGTCAGAGCTGGGGTCTGACCCCAGTTCAGTCCGGTCCTAAAGCCTGTGCGTAACCAGAGCCTTGTGCCGGGAAGCCACGTGACTGGGCCGGTCACTTCACCTCCCCCGGCCTCAAGGTTCCCGTCTGAGAAATGGGAATGCCGGTGGCCCCACGTGGAGAGGGCTCTGGGGGTCAGTGCGGTGATGTCCCAGGGCCGTGTGGGAAGGGCTGGGCGCCCCTGACGTTCCGCCTGGGCTCGGGTCCAGACTCCGCCCGGAGCTGGGCGTAAGTGGCGAGTGACCTGCGGCAAGCTGCTCTACCTCTCTGAGCCTCGGTTCCTCCACCTGTGAAATGGGGTGATCGCAGGAGAAAACGAGCTCAGCAGAAGGAACTGTGGGTGTCTTCCGTGCACAGAGCCCTAGACCTGGCTCGAGCCAGCCACTGGAGGGGGAGGGCTCTGTCACTGCTGTCCCCCCTGTGCTGTGCGGACCCCGCCAGCCCCCGGGTGGCCGCTCCTGACCCTCTCTCCCCGCAGGCCACGGTTCACCTACTTCCCCTTCTCCCTGGGCCATCGCTCCTGCATCGGGCGGCAGTTCGCTCAGGTAGGTTCTCCCGGGATGACTGCAGGGTGGCGGCTTGTCCCAGGCCAGGGAGCATTTCCGAGTCCCTGCCCTGGGCCCGCTGGGCTGGGGGCCGGGGACATGGCCCCAGCCGTGTTCTGCTCTGGAGGTTGACCCGGGGAGGGGAGCCAGGCCTTGCGTTTGCCGCCCGTGAATTTGTGCACTGCATCTCTCCTTCGTTCCTCCCTCCTGTCCTCGGCGTGGCGCTCGCCGCCCCTCCCGTGCACAGATGGAGGTCAAGGTGGTCATGGCCAAGCTGCTGCAGAGGCTGGAGTTCCGGCTGGTGCCCGGGCAGCGCTTCGGCCTCCAGGAGCAGGCCACGCTCAAGCCGCTGGACCCTGTGCTCTGCACCCTGCGGCCCCGGGGCTGGCAGCCTGCTCCCCCACCGCCGCCCTGCTGAGGGGCCCCAGGCAGGATGAGACTTCTCGGGCCAGGGCCGCGCCCGCCCTCCTCTCTGCCCCGTCCCCCAGCCACCCTCCACGCTGGCTCCCAGGGGGGCCCTGCCAGCCACCTGCTTCACGCCCCCAGCGCTCCCTGTCGCCTGCTGACTCCATGGCCTGTCCTGGACTAGCCCTTGCCTAGCCCCCAGCCGCCAGCTTCGTCTCTCCCCAACCTCCAAACCTTTGCACCGGCCTCCTCCTCTGCCAAGACGCCCTAACTCTTGCTCACTCCCTAAAGCCCTCTTCAGGTGTCACCTCCTCCAGGAAGCCCTCCCTGCCACCCCCGGCTGGGCCAGGGGCCCCTCCTCCCTCAGTCGTCACCTGTGCTACCTCTAACACCACTGACCACACTGTATCGTGAGTGTCTGTCGATATGACCAACGGTCCTGCCTGGCCGCGAGGGCCGCAAGGGCAGGGTCTGCGTGTGACTCGTCTCTGAGTCCCCTGTGCCCACCAGGGCCTGGCACAGAGTCGATGCTCAATAAATGTGTGTTGACTGCATGGATGAACAGTGGAACCAGGCCGTGGTGCTCTGGCCTCAGTTTGCTCATCTGTACGACGGGGCAGATACAGAGGCTGGTCTCTGTAAGGGCTGGCACAGCGCTGACAGCTGCCACCTCCAGATGCCCCTGCAGATGCCCAGACACTGCCACCTTGGACAAGACGGCCCCAGGTTACCAGAAACGCCTGGCGTTGAAGCCTCTCCCCTGCGTTGGACACAAGGCTGTGCCCCTGGGCGCTGTGTGAGGTTGGGGTCACAGGTGGGTGACTGGCTTTGAGAGCTGGACTTGAGAGGTCAGGGAGGCCTCCTAGCCTTTCTTGGGAGCGGCTTGGTGGAGCTGAGCCCACGTGCCTGGCTCATGGCTCTGGGCACCTGCTACCCCTGCTGGCACCACACTGCCCCCCGACCCGGCCCGAGTAGCTGATCGTGCCAGCCCCAGGCGGTGAGATTGTAACCCTCACAGTGGTGGGTGGAAGAAGCCATCCCTTCCTCCCCAAGGGCTAGGGGTGGCTGAGGAGCAGTAAATACTGGGTGGGCCACGTCCCCTGAGCCCGCCCAAGGAAAAGGACCTGGAGTGAGTTTCTCCTTCAGCACGTGGGAGCTTGTCTTTGCACAGAGAGAAAACACTGCCCTCACGCTCTGCCTGGGATATACCCCCCAGAGGTCCCTCTCCACGCCTGGGGAGGCATGGATCTGTGTCGGCCCCTGATGTACAGATTGTCTTATTCACTGCCTGCCACAGCCTTGAACGACAGCTCCGAGGGATCGTCCCATGGAGCAGATGAGGAAACAGGCACAGGGGAGGAAATGACATGCTCAGGGCAGGTGGGGCCTGGGGTGGAGATGAGAATGGAGGAGACAGGTGTCTGAGTTCCCAGCCTGTCCCTCTCCCCAGCCCAGGTGAGCCGTGGGGACCTGCACCAGTGATTGCACCCCCACTCTGGGCAGAGGGGGGCCCCGGAGCTGCAGAGTCTTGCAGAGTGGGGGGCCTCCTGCTCCCTCGGCACCGTGTCCGACCACCTGGTGCCCAGCCCAGCCCTTATCCAGCTGCACCCTCCCTCTCTGTTTCCATTTCCTTCCTGGGGGTCCCAGGCACCCGCTGCCTGTGTGGGTGTGTGTTTGCTAAGACTCGTCTCCAGTTGACGGCCACACCTTCTCTATGCTCTCCCAGAAGCAGCACCCTCCCGTGGCACGCAAAATGGCCACTCGTCCTCCGTCTTGTGTTTGGTTCCCGCCCTGCCGCTGCTCCCAGCCTGCCCTGGCTGCGCACCCTCCCTGGACTGCTGCAGCCTCTGAGATTCCACCAGCCCCACCCGTCCCCTCCCCCGCATGGCCAGGCTAGTCCCAGGCTAGGAAACCGCACTTCCTTCGTCGTCCATCTAGAAGGGCAGCAGGCCACCAGGCTTCAGCATGCAGGGGCGCACAGCCTTGATTGACTGGGGGTGCTTGGGAAGGTTCTGGGCGGAGCGGGTTCCTGAGCGAGGTCTGGAGGTGTCTGGAGGTTCTGGAGGTTCCTGGAAGTTCTGGGTGGCTGGAAGGTTCTCTGGAGGGGTCGCTCCCACCCGAAACTCAAGGCTGCCGCTTTGCCATCCTGATTCAGCAGAGTGTCACCACTGCCGAGCCCTGAGCCTTCACACCAGCTTCCTTCGGTCCTCCCAGGAGATGGGGGTGCAGCACACCCATGCTCCACAGATACGCGAGATCAAGGCCGTATGCCACAGCCAGGCCACAGTGGCGGTCAGGACTGGACACCCGTGACCCATGACCCCTGTGCCCTTGGCCCTTCCACAGTCCACAGGGCCGTACCGCAGCCTGGGCTTGCCTTCCGGAGCGCCTGGGCACCCAGGGGCCGGAGGTGCAGAGTGGGTGGGAAAGCAGAGCACGGTCCCCGCAGCCCCGCCCCTGTTTTCTCACTGCCTTGTGGGCCAGTGTAGCGCATCCTGCCCTCCTGGAGCCACTTCCTCTTCCACTGAATGGGCAGTGGGTTCCCCAGTCCTGGCTGCAGGAGAGGAGTCACCTGGGCCGCATCAACCCGAAGGCTATGCACCAGACCCAGGGGCCAATTCCTCGCCCCAACCTGTCACTGGCTATGGGACTTGGCGCCTCAGTTTCCTCCCCATCTGTAAGGCAGGACAGAATATCAGGACGCACTTCTAGTGTTGGGCGGGGGAACGTCAGAGGCGATCCACACGTGGAGTGGGCCCTGTCTAGCTCCTCGTGGTTACCTGCGGCTGGGGGTGGGAGAGCGGCGGCGTCCCGGGCCAAGTCGTGCAGTTCCCAGAAGCCCCGCACGGTGGCGGCCCTGGGCAGCGCTCGCGCCGCTCGCCGCGCGCGGCGCGGCCCGAGTCCGAGGGGGGGCGGGGCGCGCGAGGCCCCTGGGGCGGGGGTCAGGCGGACGTCCCACTGACCCTGGCGGGTGCGCGGTGGCGCTTCGCCGTCCCTCTTCACAGATGGGGCCGCCGGAGGCGGCGGCGCGGTTGCCGCGACCTCGCGCGGGGTCAGGCAGCTGGCGGGCACGGTACGGCCCTAGCAACGGCCCACGGACGCGCAGACGGCCTGGCTCTGGCGGCCGCGCGGCCGACTCGCCGGCGAGGGGCTCTTCCGCGAGAAGCCACGGGAGGGCGAGGAGGGAGGCCCTCGCGGCGGCTCGGGGGCTCACGGCCTCCCTGCCGCTGCCACTCCCGCGTGACCCTGGGTGCGCAGGGTGGCGCCTCGTCAAATCTGTCCCTCCTCTGGAAGGCTCAGACCAATGACGTGGCGGAGCTTTGGTTCTGCACTTCTCGGCCCAGAGGGCAGTTCCAGTTCACCCGGCCCTGCCATGTGCTTTCCTCGGTGCTGGAGCTGCCTCTGGGGGCTCTGATGTCTCTTTAGGTCCTCCCTCCGGGGGGGGGGGTGACAGGCCTGAGCGCTGACCCAGCTCTGCTGGGCGGCTAGTAGGCCCTGGGCTGGTTCGGGGCTGGCTTCAGCGGGCCTTGGGCTTGCGGGCATGGTGAGCCGGCCTGTTCCCCCCTGACCGTGGAAGGTTTTCTTCCCTGTGCTCCTGAGCCGTGGTGGGCTGGAACTCCAGTGAACAGCCAACAGGGGAGACAGAGGGACCGACACCCCTGTGTCGCCAGCAGTCAGCTGCCCACCTTGGAAGGTTCTGGATGGGGCCCAGCAGGGAGCCTGAGCAGGCACCCGCGTACTTCTGGCCGAGCTGCACACCAGATCCTTTGCACCGCGTCCTCGAGTCAGGCGGTCCATGCACCCCCTTGCGGCGGTGAACTCTAAGTCCACCCTTTCCCCAGACCTCACCCCTCGGGTCCAGACAGCCTCAGGCATCTCTGTCTGACGGTCCAGAACTAGCCCCCCCGGGGGCGACTGCGGCCCACTGGAGGTTTTCCTTGGCAGGCGGCTGCGGACCACTGGGGAGGGGAGCGTCATCTTCTCTGAGTCAGGGCCAGGGCTGGGGAGAGACAGGAGTCAGGGCCCTGCGTTGGCCTGGGAGCTTTAAAAACCCTAATTTCTTTCCAGAGGCACCGGCTCTCCCTGCACTTCCTATCTCAGTTGAGGAAACCGTGTCACCTCTCCTGGCGGCTGGGGCAGCCCCGCCGGGGCGGACGCTGGCAGAGTAGCCCACCAGGGCGAGACGAGCGCCAGTTCCTGGGCGTGGCCAGTCCAAGCGCAGACCAGCAGAGGAAGGCAGCCGTTGGAGGTGGGGCTCCGTGGTCTCAGGGACGGCCGGGCAGGGGCCGGGTGACAGCCTGGGCCTTTCACTCGGGCCAGCCTGCGCCGTTGGGCAGGCTTCAGGCTGACTGGGCGGGCGAGGGGCCAAGAGGACCCCCCCCTGTTAACGCCCACTCCCTGTCCTCGAGTCTGGGGAGGCCAGAGAGGGGATGATGACAGCAACTGTGTCAGGGGGGCCCCTCAGTCCCCAGCAGAGGGCCAGAGTCAGGGGGCTGGGCCTTACCCTGCCTAGAGCCCAGGACCCTGGGACGGGCCTGGGGCCTCCCCTAACCCACTGCACCGGTGTTCCCCCTGCACAAGATGGAACAGTGGCTCCCCTGGCCCCCACCTCAGAGGCAAGCGGGGCTGCCCCAGGGAAGCAGCGAGCTGCCACACCCTCCACCAGGACCCCAGGCAGCTGATGCTCTCGGGCCTGGCTGGGAAGCCAGGGAGGGGCCAGGATGGTTGCCCAGGCCCAACCAGGCGGCCACTCGGCTTCCTGGGCTGCCAGGGCCTTGGGGCGGCTGGGAAACTGGCCTCCCAGAAGCTGCACTGGTGGCGATGTTTGGGCCCCGGTGGTTGAGCCTAGCGCGCCGTGTGTGCCATGTGTGTTGCCTGCGTGTTCCCAGTCTCTCCATTTCCTGGCGTCTCCTCGCCTGTGCCGATTCTGTTCTCCGTGTGGGTTGGATGGCCGTCTCAGGCTCCGCGTTGTCCTGGGTGTGGTCCTGCTTGAGCTGACGGAGTTCTCGTTGACCTGGGCAGTGGCGTGACACGAGGAGTGTTGCGGGGCCGGCCCTGCCGGCGTCCTACCAGAAGGCTGGGCTCCAAGGAGCGACAGGTCATTGTCCTCTCAGCGTCATGGCCACTGGACCCCTCCCTGGTTTACGGCAGCCAAAGCCCAGGTGGTCCAGCCAGGGAGGAAGAGCGTGGGGGGCAGTGGGGCAGGCACCCGCCAGCCAGTGAGTGGATGTGGATGGCCGGGGCAAGAGGTCTCCTTCCCTGACGCCCGCGCTCAGACGCGCCTTTCAACTTGACCAGCTGACCCTTCCTCCGTCCTCCATGACACTTTCCTCCCAGTGGGGGCGCTGGCTGGGGAACGGGTGGGAGCCCAGGGCCTGCGTCCTCTGGTGAGGACAGGCGGCGCCTGGACAGGACCGACCACGCAGCCTCCCTGCCAGGCCTGCCCCATGAAACGGCATTGCATGCCGCTGACGTCAGGGCTCCGCGTCCCACTGACTCCAGCACGTGTCTGTGGGTCCTTACCTTTGCCCGTTTCCTTTCAAATGACCCAACTTCTGCGCTGATCGCAT